TTTGTGCTAGAAATAGAAGTTACAATGTATGGTCCAGTCCAAGGCTTTACAAGTTTACCACCTTTTCTATCATCACGTCTGCTATTTCTTAGTAACACTTTTTTATTTATGCTAATTTCATTATTTGGTGCAATTCTCTTGTCGTAATCATGTTTTTGTCTTTTTTGAGATTTTTCAATATTTTTATAAGCATCGTCAAAAATTTTATTCTTCATTTTATTCATTGCATGAAAGGTATCTGAAACTATTTTTTTGTTAGAGAAATCATCATTGCTAAGAGCGTTACTATCATTAAAGTCAATTAAATTACAATCTATATCAATAGGAAGAACTGCTTCCCTTTGGTAAAGCAATGCAAACAGTGAAAACCCAGTAGATTTGTGCTTTTTAACTCTTAAAGAAAACAAAACACTATCAATAATGTATGGCCATTCCAAAGCAGCCTCATCAAGCACTTTTACTAATATACGTTTAATTGTTTGATTTTGTCTCTCTACTAATCCATTAGCTTGATGATATGCACTTGTAATTCTTTGAATTAATCCTGTTTTTGAGTAAAGTTCTTTAGAAATTTCATTTACAAACTCACGACCTTGGTCATTTATTTGAATTTCAAAACAGCCATGTCGACAAATCTGTTTATACAAAAAAAAAGCCACAGCTTTAGCAGTTTTATCGGTAAGTGCTTCTGCTTCAACCCATTTACTGAAGTAGTCGATTAATACAACCAGATATTTGCAACCGTTAACTTCTGGTAGCTGTGTTAAATCGATTCCTACCTGCTTCATATTGCCTTTAGAAATTGAAATATTTTGCAGCAATGGTTTCGACTGAAGTTTTTGACTTTTGGCATTGGTCACATTTGGAAACATAAGTTGTAATATCTTTTATCATTCCATACCAGAAAAATCTACTTTGAATGTGATAGGTTGTGTTATTAATACCTGTATGACCAGATAAAGCTTTAGACTCAACAGAGACATCGTTTCCTTCATGAACAAACTTTATTATGTTTTGTTGTTCATCTCTACTCCAAATAACTTTTCTCTATAAAAAAAAGAAGCTGTAAACCATCAATATAATGAGAATCAAAACTAAATTAATTTTCATTATTTATTAAATAAATTATTTGTAAATATTCGTGTTTATTTGGTGACTAGATTCTAGTTGCAAAATGGCAAAACTATTAAAACATTTTGAAATAATAGCATACCTTTGCAGCTTTATTTAAATGATATAACTCATTATTATCAACTATAAATGGCTTAGTTTGTCTTCTAAAATTGGCTTTATCGCCTTTATTTAAAACTTCTTTTGGATATATTTGGTATTTTAAGTAACTAAAAATGTCTGCAAATCTAGAGCGCATGTTTTATTGATATGCAATTCCGCTAATAACAACTTGAGAGTAAAAATAAGATAGTAAGAGTAAAAATCTCATATGCTTTTTTTTACTCCGCGGTAAAAACTTCATACGATATTTTTACTGGGGAGTAAAAAAAACACGGGAGTAAAAATCTCATACTACACCGGCTTGCCGATTTTCCAAAATTTTAACAACCGGTGTCGTACAAATTTATTTCCCCCATAAATTTATTTCCGTGGCGCAAGTTTCGGTTACTAAGGAAATAATAATAAAATTGTTTCCCGACAAATTTATTTCCGATGTGGAAATAAATTTGCAGAACATTCTACAACAACTGAATATACAATAGTAATCAAAAATTTACAGTGGGTGGCCATTGAAATAGGGCCATCACGTTTTTTGTTATACTGTCAGCATTAATTCACCTTTCAAACGTAAAATTCACAATTTTTTATAATTATTTACGACATATTACGACAAAAATTTACATTATTTCAACTTTTTTAATTTTCTTTAACATATTTTTGTAGTGTGTTTATTGGTCTTTTAGATTTTTTAAAGTTTCTGACAATGGGTAAAAAAAAAGATGCGAATGTTTGTAAAAAAAGTGAAATAATGTCACTTTTAAGGAACACCAACTATTCTCAACAAGAAATTTCAAGAAGAATTGGTGTTTCTAGGCAAAGAATAGCATCAAAAATAAAAAATGGCGAAAACCCTATATCCACACTCCGTAAAAACTGTAAAGGAAAACGCCATTCAACGCCAAGGTCTGAGAGAATTATCAGGAATGTTTGCTTGGAGAATAGAAAGAAACCCAGAAAAATAATCACAACATTGATTAAAGATGCTAGAATTAATATTAGTGATCGCACAGTCAGGAAACGCTTAGATGAGTTAGGCTTTAAGTGTTACCGCCCTGCGAAAAAACCAAAATTAACGCATGCCATGAAGGATAAAAGACTGAAATGGGCTATAAAACACCGCAATATGACAACAGATGATTGGAGAAAGGTATTTATTTCTTAAACATGTCATGCTCTGCTTTATTTCTCGATTTTCTTTAGATTAATGAAAGACTAACATTTTTTGAAACATTTGTTTTCAGGTGTGCTTTTCTGATGAACCCACGTTTTAGATCTTGGACGACAAAGCCTCATTTGTGCGACGAAGGGTGGGTGAAAAATTTAATCCAGACTGCATTATCGAGACAGTAAAACATCCATTGTCAATTATGATGTGGTCCGTTATATTTGGTAAGGGTACGGGAAGGCTTTACATAATGCAAGGGACAATAAGGCAGGGCCAAAACAAAGAAGTTTTGGAGCAAAAGCTCATTCCTCAAGTCTCGGAAAGGTTTCCAGATGGCAAATTTATATTTATGCAAGATTCTGCCCCATGCCATACGGCAAAATCCATTAAAAAGTTTCTTGGAGAGAAAAAAATTCCACTGCTGGATTGGCCAGGAAATTCCCCGGATCTTAATCCTATAGAAAACCTGTGGGAGCTATTAAAACAGGAAGTTTCTTCTAAACAACTGGTGACAAATAAAACACAGCATATTGAAAAACTAAATGAAGGTTGGCATCGAAATCCTCACATTAAAAAATTGGTACAGAAATGCATTGACAGCATGCCACGGAGATAAATAAAATTTCACAAAAATGTGTAGAAAACTCAATGGCCCTATTTCAATGGCCACCCACTGTAGAAAAAAATAAACATTTTCTAAGTGATTTGTGATTTAAAAAAATGCCTTTATTTTTATTACTTGAATTTTTTTTTAATAGGCTTTATTATTTATGAAATTCTTTTTAATATATATAAAAGACAAGAAAAAAAACAAAAGCCAGTTAAAAGTATTTTATTTTCAAAATAACAAAATTATGTAAAAAGATATCTACGAATATCTTGATCATAAGTTTAGACTCGTTATTTTTTACTTTAAACTGTAAGTCAAGTTAATATGGTATGTGACCGCCTTTGTTATCTATTCAAAGTCTACATATTCTTTTATTAGATTCAAAAAGATTTCGGCAATATTCAAAGGATAAACCATCATATAACTCTTTTAAAGTTTTGTATGATTTGATTTATCGCTAAATACTATTTTTTTAAATATCATTATCACTCATCTTAAATTTTTTTTTGCAAAACTGAAGCCGTTTGAGCCGAACTGATCGTTTAAGCATTGGTTTTTTAGCAGCAGTATACAAGCATAGTTTACGATCAATTAATCTTATATTTATTGTCTGTCTTGAGATGTCATTTTTAAGAGTTAAATTTATTTCTTGAAAAATTTGTTTAGCACTATACTTTTTCTGGCAATTCTGTATATACTATTTCTCTGAACTAGAATTCTCTGAACTTGCATCTTTTGTTTGATAAAAGTTACTGTAGAAGTATTATATACTTATTATTTATATAATAAACAAACACACACACATGTGTGTTTGTTTATTATATAAATTATATATATATATATATATATATATATATATATATATATATATATATATATATATATATATATATATATATATATATATATATATATATATATATATATATATATATATATATATATATATATATATATATTAAATGGATTCTAGTAAAATAACTAATAATAAAATATGAAATTTGCCTTGGCTATTCTGTTCGTAAATTAGACATACAATGTCTAACTTACTTAACGAAGTGCACCAACTAGAAGGTAAGCCATAGGACTTTGCACCAGTTGTAATGCTGCCTAAGGTTAGATCTCCGATTCTAAATTCTTTCCAATGTTTATTAGGCTTAAAAGTATTGTTAAACTGTAAAAGTATTGTTATTGACAAAAAAAAAAGCCCTTCATTTCTGGATTCTTTCCTTTATATTTTTGTTACTAATTGCATAACTGCAATTATTATTGCAATAACAATATAATAATATAGTGATATATTCGAAAATTATTATATTGTATTATTTAAAAAAATATTTTCTTATTTTATACTACTATATATAATAAATAAAAATTGATTTGAACAGTCTCACCATCTATAGGATCCTCAAGAAGCTATTTTATTACATTTTTGTTTTTTATGAAAATCAAGCACTCCTAATGTAGCATACACTAACAAAATTTACACACATATATAAATTTTTTATTTAGTAGCTAAAATTGTATTCTCCACTTTTAATGTCATTATATTTTCAGCAGTATTATCAGGAAGCTACTTGATGATCCAGCTGAAGGAAATCCAGATGAAACTGACAGTAAAATATTTGACATAAATGTGAACCAAAAATTCAGAAAAAACAAATAAAAACAAATAAAAAAAATCTTACTCATCAGCTCGTTTATAGCATGAAAAACTACCATTATGAACATTAGAGGATTAGTTAGCACATAGTTAATTCAAACAGCTAAAATACACAAAATAAAATATAAGAAAAGCGTAAACAATACAAGAAGTTTTTTGAAATTGGTTCATGTAAAAAATAAAGGACATGATAAAATAACATAACAAATTTTTCAAAAATGTTACTAAATTAAACTTCAATAGAAATTGTTTCAAGTTTAAAGCATAAACTGTAAAAAAAAAAATTTTCAATTTTAAGTCAAAAATCTAGTAAATAAAATAGTAGATTCTCATTAAATATACTAGAATGTCTAAATAAAAAAAAAGAGAAAATAATAGCATAATCTTTTGAGAAAACCTATCGTAAATAACTCATTCAACTAACAAAAAAAGGAAAACTGGAACTAAAATAAAAACAACTAAAATAAATCAAAGCTATACTAAAAGTAAACTATTAAATAATACACAACAGACATTTTCATGCATTAACTTTATCTGAATATGTGTTTGTGACTGCTTCACATCTATTAAACTGAATAATTTTTCAAATCCAATATTAGAGGAACATTAACAAACATTAACAATTGTAGAACTTTCACATTTATTAACTGTACTTTCTGAATATGATCTTGGAAATGATGTAAAATGCTTAGCTTTGAAGCAATTGTGTAAATGCTGGTGCATTGCAGATTGATTGTACGAAATGGATGCAACATTTTGTCCCATACAAATATCTACTGCAATTGCAATTGCAAACAAATTACAGTCAATTCCTCCAACTTGTTGCTGACATGATTGGTATTGACACATAACTGTATTTTTAGAACATGATATAACTGAAGCAATTTGTTTTTGTACGTGCAAAGTTAGCATTTCTGTCTTCATTGAGTCATAAATTTTAACGACTCTATCGCTGCAACCAAGTGTGCTAATCAACAACCAGTGAAGAGATCCGTCATGCAAAATTTGTAGCATCTCCTGTGACTGTATACGGAACATGAGATTTGTTCCTAATAAGGTGTCTTGCATACCTTGAATATCAGGAAATTGATTTTTTAATATTACTTGAGCAGCATTAATTTCAATATCTCCTAACATGTTTTGATTCAATATACTCTCAAATGCTGATATTGGTACACTAAATGTAATGCTATTTTTGGATGAATAAGTATCAATAGACTCAATGTTTTTAATATAAAATTGATTTTGTGATGATGTTATTTGACCAGGTTCAGATTTTTTGACTGTATTTGTTGCAGGGTAACTACTGTATGACAAATCTAAATGAGTTGCTTCTAAATGTTGAATATTAGTTTCTATGTCTTGACATGGGTAATAAGGTTTAAGCTGAGAAACGTTTACTTTTGTTTTTAAAATTTCACCATTAAGGTTTTTTAAAGTGCATTGACCTTTTATGTTTAAATCAGCTAGAGTATATGGTCCCATCCACTCCTTAGATAAAGGCTCACCTTTGCAACCTCGTTTTCTTGCATTTAACTTCATCACTTGATCATTTATTTTAAATGTAAATGTCTTTATACCCTTTTTTGCAACTTTTTTCATATGTTGCTTACACTGCTTTTCTTGAGCAATTTTTATATTTTCCCTAACTTTTTACTCAACAGCCTCACAATCATTAACTAACTTTTCTACTGTAGAGTCAGATATTTTTTCAAGAAAACTACTATTTAAAGAATCATCAGTCTCATTTAGAACATTTATCATCTCAATACCTGGAGGATGTCTTAAATACATTAGATAAAACGGAGTCATCTTTGTAGATTTCTGGCATGATATGTTCAGTCCATAAGCAATTGCAGATGTGTAACTAATACAAGTCATAAAAAAAAATTATTGTAATAATAAATTATAGTGTATATATAAGGAAAATGAAATAAGAATATAGATTACTAAACCTATCCCAGTCATTCATCTCATTATTAGTATGCTTGCTTAAAGCACGTTTAAAAATTTGATTTGTACGTTCATCTTGACCATTACTTTGAGGATGGTATGCTGATGTCACAGAATGTTTAATACCCATTAATTGAAAAATTTTATTGTTAAGCTATACATAAAAAATAATAAAAAAAACTAATAAAATAAATTTTCAATAACACAAAGAAAACAAAAGTTTTAGAAACTTTTTTAGTCTTTACCTCATTCACAAATTCTCTTCCTTGATCTGTAATTACTTATTTTGGTGGACCATAAGTATGAAAAGTGTTAACTAAAGCATTAGCTACAGCAGCAGCAGATTTTTCAGGTAATACTCTAGCAACAATCCATTTTGTAAACAAATCTGTTATTGTTAAACATATTTATTGCCATTCACTGTTTCCGGTAATGGACCAATTAGATCTACTCCTAAAACTGACCAACTTTCTGTTACCTGAATTGGGTGTAGTTGTGGCACAATTGTTTTTATTTTTTCAAATGATTGACATTGTTTACATGTCTTGATCTATAATAGACTATATATTATTTAATTAGAATAATACAATTTATAGTGTATATTATTATTGCAATATTGCATTTAAATTTTATATTAATAATGATGGTTACATGTTTATTATTTTTATATAATTAAGAAAATAAACATATAGCCTTCGTAAAAAGCAAATAGTACTTAACCCATGCTTCAACATCAGATGTAATTGACATCCAATAGTACAAATTTTTAATTCTATTTTGAGTTCTTACTATTCTCTGGTGTGCCCTACCAGCATCATTATGACATTCTTTAAGAACCCTTTTTCTTTCTTCTTGACTATACAAAACAAGTCGTAGAGATTCATCTCGAATATAATACAAACGTCCATCTAAAAATTTAACCAAATTTTAAAACTTAGTTCAAACATATGTTAAAAGCCTAAACATAAAACAAAATATTTAAAACTAAGTGGAAACTATTAGATACTGTGATATTGCAATATTGTTATTATATTTAGATTATGTATATTGTGTTCTATTATATTTTAGATATAATAAAAACCTTACAACTAAATTACTTGTATTAGTCTTGATCGGGTCTACTACAGATACCAAATAATTAAAATTCACTTGCCTATTCCTTTAAAATTTCTTGCAGCTATTCTGAGCCCACGTTTTTCACTGTTCAAAACAGTATTTGCATACTTTCCTTCTAATACGTATTGTCTTATCTCTTCGAAACGTAGCTCTTGAGATTTTGCATTGATCTTAGGCATTGCTTAAAAAAAATATAAAAACAATATATCATACTTGGCATGAAAGTTATTAATTTATTTATTAAAACCTAATGTAAATTTAAACTCACTACTAATCAGGATAGACAGAAAATTAACGGGTGTTGTTGTTTAGTTTGTATGGCGTAGTTTAGTTATATCGGGTGGCCTCTTTAACCAATCGGCGTGCGACTCGGAAATAAATTTATGGGGGAAATAAATTTGTACGACACCGGCTCGCCCAAGCCTGTGCGAGCTGGCTCAATCACCGCCTAGGTGATTGAGCCAGCTCGCATAGCAAAAAAAATATTAGAAGAAAAATTAGATTTTTATATTTTTTTTATGGAAGCGAAACGTAAATCTAAATATTTTTAAAAATCTAATATGCTTTGTGCTAAGAGAGTAGACTTTACACGCAATGATTTATTGAGTAATTTGCAGATCAAGGAATTTTCCAGAGCCCACTGAGAGTAAGATTTCTCTTTTATAAAGAAAAAAGCAAGATATTTTGATTACATATATTTTCTTTTTACCACCCAGTAAATGAAATTACAGGTAAATACACTAGATACAAGTTATTTTATAAAATTACGACCAGTAAAACAACACAGCTTTCAAACTTGTTAGCCTTAAATACTAGCTACTAAGTAGTATGTTTTTCACACCTAATTGGTTTAGTATTATTGGAACATTCTCCTCCATCAAAGTTTTAGAAATCACTCTTTGTTTTTTTAAGTTCTATAACTGGAACGTTTCTCTTAACACTGTTGAAGAAAAATATTAAATTTCACAACCTAAAAGAAGAACAACATCCGTTGTTCTTCCTTTAAGTTGTAAATTTTTTTTTCCTTTGATTATGAAACAGAAAGAAGAATTATGTGAAAAATTGAAGAATGAAAGACTGTTTCAATTAGCAAATCAAAAAAAACTAATCGTCTTGCCTATTGTTCTAAATGATCTTAACTATCTTGTTGGCAAATTTATTCAACATAAAATAGTAAAATTCAACATTAATAAAATATTTTTGGTGTACAGGTAAAGTTCTTAGAATAAACAAATTAACCCCTTATCTAAAAATAACTTTGTTTGATGTGAGACTGAATGTAAAATCGAGTATTGACTTTTCCATTGCTTGTTGACCTTAAAAAAGCAAAGGTTATCGTATTGTTAAAGCTTATTTCACAATGTACTTGATTGTAAAAAAACAAAAACTACTTATAATATTTGAAAAAAATTGAAAACTTGTTAACCTTCTGTTTTAATTGTTCACAATTTTGATGTTCTGATTGTTCAATAAGGTAAAATCAGACCTATAACTATATTGATTTGCGTTTTTTTCTTTTTTTTTTGTTTCTAAAGTTTAGTAAGTTGTGAACTGAAAGTTATTTTATTTCTTTATTTTTGTTTAAAAGTTTATGCATTAAAGATATGAGATGTCGTTTTTTGCCTTAAGTCGTTCTTTTAAATTTTAACGCAGATATCATTTACGATTAAAGTAAAAAAATATTAAAGAAAAAACAAAAACTGAATTAGAATTACGGAATACTTTTGTCTAAAAAAAAAAATCAAATCAGGTAATATAAAAATGCAAATTTCTTTATAGCTAGAAGTGCTACAAAATAGATTGAACCCATTTTGAAACAAGAGTAACATTTTGAATGCAATAAAATTAAAATTAACATTTCAGGTTAATTATATAACAAGAATATAAAAGGGACTAAGGTGCCGAATCTAAACGACTTAATGAAGCCAATTACAATTTAAATTAAAACCTCTCTGGTTATTTACCAACTCTTTTTTACTATAAAAGAAAAACATAAAAAATATCTTACTGCTTCTTATTTAACAAACGTTAAATAAAACAAAACGAAGTTGATTTGTTTTTTATTCCCTTGTTATAAAGCAAATTATCTAAAAAAAATGAAAACGTAAAATTTTTAACCAAAAACATTAATTTTATGAATCAAGTTTAAATATTCTGTGAAAAAATCTTTTTTACGCTCTTTTGGTAAAAAAAAATTATTAGTTAAATTAAAATAAAAAAGTTATTGCTTAATTAATAACATGGAAAAAGCGTATCAACTTTGGAAACACAAAAGTTTCTAAAAGTTTGGGGAATTTATATCAATTTTAATTTAAATTCTGTTTATTTAGGTTTTATATTCTTTTTTATTTACGTAAGCCTGTCTTTCGATTTTTTTTTGTTTTTGTTTTTTGATTTATTAAATTTTTTACATGGTTATAATTATATTTCTGTTACCTTTAATAGTAAATTATGTGTTTTCAATGACCTATATCAAAAAGTTAAAACAAATTTCTAAAAACGATCTTATGGAATCTTTTTTCTTCATTTCATATTTTAGAACAAGTTACATCAAAAGCTTAACACGTTAGAAAAATTTTCATGAGTTAGAACAAAGCTATAGTAGACTCTACTACACTTCTTATTATTGTGACTAGCTCTTCATTAAAGTTCTTCATCTTTTTTGCTATGCCCTCATTATACTTAAGACGCTGCTCATTTCCTTCCTTAAAAAGTTTAAAAATACGATCTCCTCTAGTGCTTGAATTGACTAACTCATCTTTTTGAAAAACAAGGTAGTTTGCAAATTTGTCATAAACTGTTGCTCGATATTTAAACCTGTTTGGATTTGGGTTACCAATTCCTTGAACTTTTGTTTCAATTAAGCTTTCATTACCGTGATGTAATAGCATACCAAAACTTTCTTCTTCTTCATTGTCATCATCTAAGCTTCTGCGCCACCTCTTTTCGCATGCTCCTTGGAACTCAATCCACATTCTTAGACGAATTTCACAAATAGTTACGGGTGTTACTTGGCTTGCACTTATTCTCCAGTCTTGAGAGTTGAACTCAAACTGATTTAAATGAACGTTTATTTTTTCAAAAATTAAACTATATTTTTTCTTTAAACTTGCATTTAAAGGTGTCGGTGGATTCATGGCAATCAGTGCAATGTGTGCTTGGAACACTACCATTGTCATAAACATTGTTGCATACTTGACAAGGTTTCGTCTTGATGTTGATGGACTTGATTTAAAGTCAAGAATGGCATCCTCTAAAGTTATTGCTAGATCATCAAAACAATGGAATGTCTTTTGCAGTTTTTTGGACATTTTTTTGCACACGGAAAAACCTCTGCTTATTTTTTCAATGTCTTGCTCCATAACAATTAAATCTTCAACGTTGTAGGTGATGTTGAAAACTTTCTTCGCCATGATTTGTGCAATGTTCCAAACAGAGTTACCTGAAAACGTCAAAAATAAAAAATTATTTTTAAAAATAAAATTCAAACAACTTAAAATGCTTGATGGAAAACAATGAGATGGTTTTGTCTGATTTTTTTCAAATTATGTGTTTACAAATTATGTGTTATGCAATTAAAACAAACAAAAAACTATACAACTAATATATTTTAAACCGAACTTGCGTAAATCTATAAAAAAATAATTCGTAGACAAAGTTAATAATTTCTAGTTGTATTATTTTCTTATATCATAGGTTTACTTTTGAATCTACCATAATTAAAGAAAAGTTTTTTGATTCCGCAATAAATAAGTTTGGGATCGTTGCAATGAATCTCTTTTGTTTCAAATTGAATATTAATAAGATTTTTAGCTAACTTAAGATCGCCTTCAAAAAGGAAAAAGGAGGCTAAATCATTTAAACCAGGTATACCAGGTAATCATTTAAACCAGGTATACCAGGTAATCATTTAAAATAGAAGTTAAAAGCTTTAACTGGCTACTCATTTTTTTTTTTTTTTTTTTTTATGTTTTTTGAGAGATAAGAACGCGCACAAACAAACAAAAACTTTAGTATAATATTACAATTACATTTTAAAATCAAAAACTGGTGATTTGTCACCAGCTTTTGATTTTAAAATGTAATTTCAATAGCGCCGCTATTAGAATGCTGAATGATAGGTAAAAAATGCATAAACGATCATAAACAGACTTAGGGGAAAAGCGCCTATGATGGCATACTTAACTTTGAAGTTACATTATTCAGTATTCTGAAGATCAATAACAAAAGTTTTGATATGGATGCGTTTTTTGTTACTTGTAGAACAATAATAACCCGAGGAGTTTTCATCAGTTTAATTTTTTTATTAGTTATCTTTACTTTTAAAAAAAAAGCACAAGTATGCCATCATCGGCAACTACTGCTCCTATGATGACATAAGGGAGAATGGGGCTGATTAGCATTAAGTGTAACTCAATGATTCCATTTGACCTTTGATTCTTCCCTCAGAAATGCTAGAAATTACGCGTAATTATCCTAATTAACCCTTTTGTGCAACACAGCAGCAGTGTAGGATTTCGTGCATGCGCATAAGAGATATTGCGTTTTACGTGTTTTTTAAACCAAAAATTTTTTAAAAGTAAAAATTCCTTTTTACTTCACTAACAAATTTTTTTATGAAAAAAAAGGTTATCTTAACTCTTCAATATTGCAGCACACCTAACTCGTTCGTATGCCATCATAGGAAGAAGTCATCATTTTCATTTAAACAAGCTATGCATGCCTTATTCAAAAGATAAAATTAAAATAATTATTCCCCTCAATGCACAAAACTTGGAAATAAAAAGCATAAAAATTTCATTTCTGCACAGCTAATAATAAAATCACAATCTTAAATATTTAAAGGGATTAAAAATACAACAGCTCATCCCAAAATCAATTTTTGTTGATTATAAAAGCAATATTTGCGCCTAAGGGACGTACTTTCACTAAAACTACTGTAAATTCAGTATAGACATGTTGGTCTAATCAATTTTTCGCCAGAACCAATATTTATGAAAATATGACCGGTATACCATCAGAGACACTATGCCATCATAAACGCCTTTCCCCTAATTATTTTTATGGAAGAAATTCAAATCAACAAATAATGCCAATAATGTTATTAACAATATGTAGCGATAAAAATTGATAAAAGGAACAGAGAGTCTTAGAAAATATAATAAAACCAAATTTTTAAATCTATGTGTGTATTTGTTTACTTACTACCATTTGAGGTGATAAAAAACTCTTGAATAATCTGTTCGCTCTTTAAAACATTTCTGTTTGCTATGGCTTTGTTTGATTCAGAATATATATTTTTTAAAGTAATTGGTTCGGATGACACTGCATAAAAAACAGTAAAAAGAAAGTATAGTTTTTGCATATTACAATGTATTATCTGGTTTGCCTTCTAAAATGTTGTTAGTTATAAATTTAGGCTGCCGGTAAAACTAATGGTTTAACCTTAAGACATCTGATGAATTTACAATGTACATTTTTGGGATCATATCCAAAGTGAGCAAGTTTGTTGTTGCGGCGAAAATATGTGGTAAACAAATAGCTTTCATTCCTTGCCCAATGAGGTGTACAAAATTGATTCTTTCTCAAAATGTTTTCTATATTTACAGAAAAGTTCTAAAAAAAAACAAAAAAACAGTTAACCAGCTATTGTGACCAACAAGATGCACTTATTTTATTACTTATTAACTTGATTAGAGCTTTAACTAAAAAGCTCGGCTTAAGTTTAACCAATATTTTACTATACTCATAAAAATTTGCTTGCCCTTCTCCAAAGCTGAACCTGGAAATTGGTTATGAGGAAATATATTTTTCTTTACGGTTAAAATATGCTACAATATTCATTGAAAACAAATTGAGATTACCTTTTGTATTTGATTACGTAGCGCCATTCCACTTTATTTGAACAATATTAAGCTTTAAGAGTTGCTATTTAGTTTGGCGATTAGTAACACGAGTTGTTTTGTTAAACTATTTTAAAATCTTGAAAGTGCTGTGGGTATGATTTTTGGAAAATTGCTTTTAATGGTTTGAGTTCTAGTACATAATACTATTTGTTACCTTAAGGGACAAAAACTAGCTTAAAGAACATAAAATATTTAAGTTATATTTTTTTAAATAGTTTGAAAATATTTTTTATTATTTCATATAAGGAACGATATTTAATAAAATATATTTAAAGAAACGATCTTTGTATTTAACTTAAATTTTGTGACAACAGACAGTGCCTCAGAAACTTTAACAAGTGGCCAAAATTACATTCCATAGGAAGCAATTTTTCATCTTAAATTTTTTAAAATCTATTTTTTTAAATATTAATTTTTTATTTTCAAAATTCATTTTTCAATTATATTACTACTTTTTAAGCAAAACAAAATTAAAAACACTTTTTTAAATTGGTAGGACAATTAAAAACACTTTTTTAAATTGGTAGGACAATTAAAAACACTTTTTTAAATTGGTAGGACAATAAAAACACTTTTTTAAATTGGTAGGACAATTGGTCGAATTTTTAACATAAATTTTTTGGCCAGTCACAAGCTTAAAAATAAATAGCAAAATTTTAAAGCTGATTATTTTATCACTTAAAATATAAATAGTACTTTTAAAATAAAATATTATTATAAAAAAAATTTTTAAACTAGAAACTAATTTTATTTAGTAGATTTTAAAAAAAATAAAAAGATTTGTATTTACAAAAAACCTACAAAAAAGGTTCCACTAGATACTAATTTTATTTTTGTATTAATTCATTTACAAGACAGAAAACAAAGAGCTACGTTTAAATTACACCATATTATCTTTATAAGTGTTTATGTATTTATGTTTATGGTTGTAAAGCAAATCTTTAAATAATTATGGTTAAACTTTTGTTTATTTAAAATCGATGTCAAGTACGTTTTAATTAAAGACATTTGGATTTTGTAATGTGTTTGTTGAGTATTTCTTTTGTAATGTGTTTGTTGAGTATTTCTTTTGTAATGTGTTTGTTTTGAAAATTTCTTTTGAATTAACAAATTAATCAAAACTATTTGTTTTAATATATAAAAGTAAACAAAATGTTCGCTGCCTAAAAACGTTTATGTACAAAATGTAACTTCTATTTTGCATCTGATCCGATTGCGATCAAGAAAAATTCTAATTACGTAATAGTACTATATTTGAAGATCTAAATTAACCGCTTGTATGAAGTTTCTTTCGTGTTGTGGTATGTTATTCTTTAGCTAATTGGCACACGGAGATCGAATATACGTTCAATTTAGGTTCTATATAAAGCGTAAGTAATCAAGTATCTTTACTATTCGAGTAAATGAGTATAAAGAAAAGTAAAAGTAATCGAGTTAGAAAGATAGCATAGAGAAAAGCAGTTTGGCAATTTGAGAAACATAAGAACTTAAAAAACGATGTGTGAAAAGCAAAGTGCAGTAAAAGGTATTGCAACCTAGTCTGTTAACTCTCCACTGCTGGATAAAAACATTTGAGTACATATTTTATCTTGGCTACAAAATTAAATATAAGGTTTCATTAAACTAGGCAAAGAACAGAAAAAATATCATCCAAGTCACACGCAGAAAAGTACTTAGGAGGGCTATTAAAAATGCTGAGTTATTCTCCGATATAACTGGAGTTGAAATTGATGTAAAAAAAATATTAAAGAGAGTCCTAAAGGTAGTTTGTTTGGGTTTCAAACTAGACAGTGTGAAATTCAAACTGTTCTGCAGTGAAACTACAAATTCGATAGTACAATGTTTATAAGTATATATATATATATATATATATATATATATATATATATATATATATATATATATATATATATATATATATATATATATATATATATATATATATATATATATGTATACAACAACATGTAAATATTACATTTACATGTTGTTATATATATATATATATATATATATATATATATATATATATATATATATATATATATATATATATATATATATATATATATATATATATATATATATATATATTAGATATCAATATGTCTAAATATGTCTACAATTGGAATAAAAATATAAAAACACCTTACAGATTGGAAATAATACGTTCTGAATAAGAAATACGGAATACTTAAAATCCAGTGTGGACTACGCAAAGTTTGATATTTAGTCATTTCTCTTGTTTTTAGTTGAAATAAATGACTTAAATAATAATCAGTTAAGCTAAACTCAATTATGTTTGTAGGTGATACCAACCTATTTTTTTTTCAACAACAGTATTACCCAACTTTATGTCTACATGAACTTTGAACTAAATATTGGGTTGTAACATAAGTTCGTAGAGTTTTGCGTTAGAGGTATTTTACAACGATTTGTTTTGTTTTTTAGCAAAGTGCATACATTCATTCGAAAGAGCTCTTTCTCGTCTACAAAACGGTTTTTTTTTTTTTTTGGATAATTTAATTGTTTGCCTTTTTTCTGGCTCAGAAATGGAATACCCAGGAGGAAAAAATCAGCATTTTCGACATCTGCTTTTCTTTGCTTTTCATCGAGGTCAAAAAGCAGCCGAAGTCGCTTGCGACATATCTAGTGTGTACGGGGAAGGTGTCTTAGGTATGTCTACTGCACAAAAATGGTTCGCAAAGTTTAAAAATGGCGACTTTGACCTTAAAGACACGCTTCGAAGCGGATGAACTACAGAATTCGACGAAGAGCATCTGAAGGCACTATTGAAGGAAGATGGTCGCCAAACAACTCGTGAATTGGCTGAAAAAACAAACATCAGTGCAATAACAATCTCGCTACCTTCAATCAATTGGTTTTACTCAAAAATTTGGAGCATGGGTACCTCACGAGCTCAACGAAGAAAACAAAGAAAAATGCCTTCGAATCGCTGCTCAATATCTCGCCCGCCACCGAGCAACACATGGACACAAACAGCGCTTTTTGTATCGAATCATCAGGGGAGATGAGAAATGGTGTCTGTACGTCAATGTGAAGCAAAGAAAGGAGTGGGTGGCCCCAGGAGAGACGCCGAAGCCGAGAGTCAAGCAAGATATTCACCTGATCTTGCTTGACTCTCATTTGGTGGGACTGGGAAGGCATGGTGCACTGGGAAATGCTCAAACGAAATGCCACTGTCAACAAAGAGGTCTACATTGCCCAGCTGAACCGTGTAAATGAGGCTATTCGGCTGAAAAATTCCGATAGACAAGGTCAAGTCATCTTGCTCCACGACAATGCCAGGCCCCAAGTCGTCAAAACAGCACTCCAAGAGCTTGAATGGGAGGTTCTTCAGCATCCACCGTACTCTCCGGATCTTGCACCTACCAAGTATCGCCTTTTCCGCTCTTTATCAAACCAAATGAGGGGTGTTACCTTTGATCGCGAAGAGGATTCTCAAAACTGGCTCAACAACTTCTTCGACACCAGACCGACCGCTTTTTGGCGAAACGGCATCAACAAATTGGTCGAGAGATGGGAGGAGGTCGTAAACAGTAACGAAGAATATATCATTGATTAATTTATTATTATAATTATTGTTTTTTGTTCAAATAAATCTTTATGAAAAAACTCTACAAATTTATGTTACAACCCAATAGAATAAATGATTGGTGTATGGCAAATAAACTCTTATTAAACGTCACAAAAACAAAGTATACCTTATTTCATAGAGAAAATAACCTTTACCTTAAGTTACAAGATCTATTTTAAATAATAAACAAATAAAAAAGCAAGAATATATAAAGTTTTTGGAAAAAACTATTGACAAGAATTTATCTTGTTTTATCTATTTTAAAAGTTTACCATCAAAATTTATTATGACTATTGGCCTGCAGCCCTATTCAAATCCTTACGTTACACCCCGCAATAATCTATCAGCTGGTTAAAAGTAAATGGGCAATTTTTAAGGTCAGCGATAAAATAAACTTGTATTCTAATGTCTCCGTTTGGTTAACTGTACGATTAAATTTAGTTATCGGAAGGCTGTTAACGCCAAAATCTAACCCTGCTATACCTTACTGTTAAAACTGCTATCGGAGAAATTTCCTATTATATTAAGAAAAATAAAAAATAGTCAAAAACAATCAAACGTTAACGAATAAGTTTACTTTTATAACAAGTAAGCTTTATAAGTAACTTTTATAAGTAATATATACAGTATCAAATTAATATAATTTATCTCTTATTTGTGAAAAAATTTATTTATATTATTTATACATTATTGAGATTTTAAAATAAATGTTATTGTAAAGTTGAATGTATTTTGCATTTGATTATAATGCACACACTGTTACGAGCATGTATGTATGTTAAATACGTGCGTATCTGTATGACATTTATGGGTTTAATTATGTATAAAAAGAAAATATACATGTACTTTGATTCATATATAAACAAGTACATGAATATATACATACATATTTTTTTTAAAAAAGAAGAAGAAACGAAGAATAATGAATGAAAAGATTGCTGACCCATACCAAATCCTCAGTCGATGTAGCAGCACTCCACTGTGAGTCATGCTATTTGTCAGTCGATGTATGTACTAAAGGTCCCGGAAGCAGGCTATTTCGGTATGAGCTCACACTGCTCACCTAACTCAGCAGTATAAGATATAAAAAGTAATACATATAGTAATACATATATATATATGTATATATATATATATATATATATATATATATATATATATATATATATATATATATATATATTTATATATATAGCATTTCTTTCATTTGAAACATATTTTGGTTTTATAAGTTCCCCATTTAGCTTTATAATAAATGATATAAGACAAACATAATTTGTATGTTAGTTTTAAAAAACAATTAACAATATTAACTTTATAAAAGGCACGTGCTAAAGAGTATTTTATAAAAAGCACATGGTAAAATCTCTATGCTGCGGTCAAGGTAACAACATGGATTTTTGCCTACCCCCTCTAACAATTATTTTACAAAAATATGATCTTAAAAAGATAAATTTTTAATTAAATATATCAAGTGCTTCTTAAAAGAAACAATTTTAATATTTCCAAGTTGGTTTTGCCTTTCCAATCCATGTTGTTGAAGACTGTGTACATAATCATACACTGTATGATATGTACACAGTCCTGTATTACAGGACTATAGCAAAACGTGAATTGGGTGCCAATAAAGCTTTTTGTATGCTCTAAGACAAAGCCCTGTAGAGGTTAGATAAAACTTTGCCTGTTAAAATCATACCAAGCATAATTAAAAGAATTTGGGCACAATTTTTTACAAAAATACTGATGTTTTTTGTGTGTAGCACTTTATATTAAACATCATTTGAGAGTTGTTTTTAGATGCTTTTGAGATATATATTTTTTTTTTTGGTTTAGAATATTATTATAATTATGTTTTTTCTTTTTTTTAATTTTGTTACTTATGTGCCCCAAGAAGACCTAACGGTCACAGAGCACCGCGGAAATGCATTTAAATAGGAAGTTCACGCCTACTTCCTTACCGTGACGCGAAAATATGTCTAGAATTCGTTTCGAACCTGGAACCTGGATTTTAGCCTAACAAAAAATTTTAAAGTTAAATAATTTTTGAATAATTAGTTTTCAAAATCTTAAACAGAAAGAACACACTAAAGGTACACAGTGAAATAACTCATTTTATAGTTATATATATAGTTTAAACACAAGGAGAATAAAACCTCCTCTTTGGTGCAATAAAGATCACGATTTCTTGAAACGAGTCACAATAAAATTACTCGGTTTTAATATATCGATCCGTTTTCCAATATTAAAGAAAATAGAGTTATGAGTAAATGCTTAATCTATAAGATTGAAGAAGCATAAACATAAAATTTAAAAAAGTGAAACTAAGTGTTAAGTAGATACAAACTCTTTGATTTTTTCGTTTTGTAGCGTGTTTAAACTAAATTTAGAAAATTGAGCAGCAACCATTATTTGAAAAATCACCGGCTGCAATTTACCAATCAAACAAAGTCATCGTCTGTTGGCATTGCGATGAGAAAAACAGCACGAAAACTAGTTAACGGAGCTGGCTAACGGAGGAATTTTAATCGGAAAGATTAGAATATCATTTAATTTTCCCCGTTTTATAACCGGCCAATAGGAGTTTTTTTCTTAACGGTTACTCAAATTCTCCGTTAGTTTAACGGAGAGATGTGAACACGGCTTCTGATGTGCCAAGTCCGTCCATATGTAAGCATAAATTATCTAAAATTAATATACTTTTCTCTAATTCTTTACTACATTAAATATGCTGATATTACATGGAGTAGTGCACAACAAACTAAACTTAAATAAATGTTTGCAAAAATACGTTAATAGATTATATGGGAAAAAAAAGAAGTTAGCGTACTAAACCCTTAATGAGAGATATGAAAATGATGACTGTATATGAAATAAACATCTACCAGTACCTAATTTTCATTTTTTAACTTTTAACGTGTTGAAAATAACAAAAAATATAGTACAAAAACAAACGATTTTAGTTATTCTAAATAATTCTTAGTTTTAGTTTAGAAGAGAAGAAGTTTTCAATCAAACAGTTTTATCTCTGTTTTGAAGTAACGCATGGATGCCTCCTTAAGATTTTGAGTATAAAATTTAATAAAAACTGTGTACTTTGCAATTGTTAAGCTATTATTATGTGAGCAAAACAAATATTCTTCAAACAAAATAAATCTTGTTTTTGTGTACTTTCAATTTGTTTTACTTAATTTGCGCAACCATGGTGACGTAGAAAAGAACTTGATTTAAATATTGTTTTTGTTATTCGTTTCGCTATTTTTATTTCAGAAAATTTTTTTAAAATCTTTATTAGAAAAAGAGTAATTGATGGACGAAAAAATTGGTTGCCATGCAGCGGGAAAATATAAACGGTTTACTTTCCAATAATGATTACACAAAACAAGAGTTTTCTAGTAGTAACGAAATCTCGCCTTTATCCGATGACTGTTTAAAAAATCAAAAAATTATGAACAGCTTAAATGATGTTAGCCACGAAAATACTTCGAGTAAGAATGATGAAAACAAAAACTTAAATGACAACGTTAATGGTGATATGCGCAAAAATTACGCAAATGAAAATGTAATTCAAAAAAAGTATATAGATTCGAACAATTTTGTTGTAAATGAAGATAAAAATTCAAACAATTTTGTTGTAAATGAAGATAAAGATTCAAACAATTTTGTTGTAAATGAAGATAAAGATTTGAAACATTTTGTTGTAGATGAAGATAAAGATTCAAACAATTTTGTTGTAAATGAAGATAAAGATTCGAACAATTTTGTTGTAAATGAAGATAAAATAAAAAACGATTTAAATGAATATGATTCCCAAAACGAAATACCAGAACAAGCGAAACTAAAACGCCAAATATTTATAATACTAATTTGTGTTAATATGATTGCCTTCCTGGGTTCTTTTTCCTATTGGATGCAAAGTGGAGTTTTACCTTACTTAACCAGAAAAATTGGTGTTAACCCGCAAGTTTTTGGTTACATGCAATCTACTTTTGCTTTGTATCAACTTGTTGGTTCACCATTATTTGGGCGGTTTGGCGATGTGTTTGGTTGTCGCATTTGTTTGGTGGTATCAGAAATAGCTTCTGCAGTTGCTTTTGGCTCACTTGCATTTGCGACAAATGTTGCCATGTTGTTTCTTTCTCGCGTACCGGCAATTTTTATGCATAATCTTCAAGGATCATACATGATAATAACAGACTGCACACTTCCATCTGAGCGAGCTAATTATCTTGGAAAACTTGGCGTATCTCACGGAATCGGTATTTTTTACTTTCTACTTCTTTTTTTTATTTCAACTGTTAAAGTTTTGCACATTTCTACCAGTGTTGTCGGCCCTGTTTCTTTACACTTCTAAAACATAAATTTTCTAAATCATATAGTTTTTATTTATCGGGAAATTAGTTTACTTTCTTCCCACATTCTCTTCCTCCATGTTACCTCTTATTGCATCTTGTTTTTCCTGTAATCTTCCTAAACATGATTTCTTAATTCTGAAACTCATTTAAGATTTATTATGCAGGTATAAGAAACATTTTATATCATTTTTAAAGTCAGATAGATCTCCTATCAAAACTTTTTGCTCATATATTAATTTCAAACATTGGAAATGGAGGAGGAGCCAGTGAATTTCATTGTATTTGAGTTTAAAAAAAGAATGTAGAATCGTATTAATCTGACTTAACTTGGTTTGTTACTATTTTTTACATAAATATATAGAATACATAACATAAATAGTATACAAATAAAATGGCAAATATTCAAAAGTTGTGTTTTGCAGGACTGATCCAGGTTTTAAACAACAAATTTAAAAAAATAATTATTAGTTTACCTTAACCTTCACTAAGTAAAAAAAAGTAAGTATATTAGTAATTAAAGGGAAGCATAATTAATTTAGTAATAAGAATAATAACAATTATAAATAATAAAAATATAAACAAAGTTATAATTAAACTTAAAACTCTATTAAAAAATCATGAAGTAAAATACTTCATGATTTCATTTAGCCCCATTTAACTCTCCCTACATATTTTTTTATTTTTATTTTGTTATAATTTTTGCCATAGAAAGTTACAGTTTATAAAATAACATAAATAATAAAACAAATGGCTGGAGCAAGAAGAAGACATCAGTTTGTCTTATCCCCGAGTCCCACTGTGACTTCATTACAGGTCGTTTTTTACAATAAAATATATAAAATCGTGATAAATGCTTGTGATAAAATATATAAAAATGTGTAAAACTACGTTTCACAATTTATATAACTGTTTATATATAAATTCGTAATGTAAAATAAATTTAGAATAAGTAAAAGTTAAAGCAAATAAAAGAAATAAATTGTGCTAGTTTACATTATTTTACTAAAAAAGAAAAAGAAAATTTAAGTTCGTTGATAATAAAAAACGCTTTGATTCAGATTTAAACTGTTCAAGTGTATTTTTTTTGATAGTAACAATCTGGGGAAAAAATTTCCACCAATAAGGTCCGCGGTGTTGGATTTAGTATGAATTTAACTTTAATGTAAATTTTGGAATGACAAAGTTTTTATATGAAAATCTAGTAGGGTATTTATGACTTATTTCTCTAAAATAGGGTTGAAATATTGGCGGAGATAGTTCATATTTTATTTTGTACATAAACTGTAAAACAAGATGTATGTTAATTTTGTATATATTCAACGCTCCAAGTTTGCATAAGAGAGGTTCACATGACACTTTTTTACTAACTCCGAAGACAATTCTACAGGCATGTTTTTGTTTACTGTAGAGTTTTTTAAGCTTAGTATAATTTGTGCTTGCCCAGGCCATGTTACCATAGCTTAGGTGACTATGTATTAATGAAAAGTATAAACTTTTTAATGAGATGATGTTTAGAAAAGGTTTTGCTTTATACATTAATGAAATATTTCTTGAGAGTTTTCTCTCTAAAGTGCTTATATGGAGCTTCCACGACAAATTTTCATCCAAGACCACACCTAGAAAGTTTATGAATGTTTCACTTTTTATATTAGTATTATTTATTTTTAGATCAGGTAGTTTAAGAGGAATATTTTCATTTTTATTTGGTTTATGAAATAGGATGAAATAGGATGAATTTAAAAAAAACACTTAAATGAACCAGAAATTAAACAAAGTAAACGCAAATATGTTTAGAAAAGACCAAACTATAAAAAATGTGAAATATAATAGACCCAACTATGTTATAAAAATCGTTACATAATTAAACATAATTAAACATAACAAACCAATTTATCAAAGTATTTTCTTGACAAATCTATTGTTGAATTCTTTTAATAATGAATGGAGCAATCAAACAAAGTGTAAGTTATTGATAAAATATCGAAATATTGATATAGATAAAATATCGTTAGATATTTATATAATAAATAATATTGATATAATACAGGGCCGACGAAATTGGGGAAGAAGGTGGGGGTTTGACAACCCACACACTTTTTTTCTGAAGAACCTTTTTTTTTTTTTAAGAAAAATCTTGATATAGAAGACTTTTTTCACAAATTGATGATGGTGCCCTCCCCCCACTTTAAAACCTGTGTCGTCGGTCCTGTAATATAATAGATAATTAATAACAACTACTCGATTAATTTAATATTTGAAAAAATTTATTACAATAACTATATAATAATCAAAATTATAAAATAAAGAAAACCAAATATTAAACATAATTATAATATTGATTGTTATAACATTTAATAAAAATGAAAAGTTAGTTAATATTTCAATGGGCTTTGACATTTTTTTTTTTTTAAATAGGAATGATCGTCGGTTCGTTCACCGGCGGATTAATTACGGAGTATTTTGGAGATGGTGCTACGGCCATATTTGCTGCATGTGGAAACTTACTATGTGCTATAATTGTCTGCATTTTTATACCCGATGACACAAAAGCAATTCGGCGCAAATTAGAAAACATAACGAGCACCGCACCAGCACAAAGTGTTGGTGCTTCATTAGGGTTAAAGGAACTCTTGAACATTTTTAAGATAAAGATTATACGATATTTACTATTTATTAAAATTTTATCTGCGTTTCCTTTTGCATTATTATACTCCATGTTTTCAATGGCAATAATGGATTTTTACAAACAAGGACCACGTGTTAATGGAATTATTCTGGCATATCTTGGTTCTCTTAGTATCTTGATACAAGGTATTTTGATCGGATTACTAACTAGTCGATTTTTAGACCCAACATTGGTGAAACTAGCCGTTTTTCTCAATACGGGGGCATTTATGTTTTTAATTGTTGCAGATAACATATATTTACTTTGTGTAACATTGCTACCAATGGCAATTGGAGGAACAGTATCACATATTGTTATAACAGCTGCAATTACAAAAGTTGTACCTATTGAAGACACTGGGTCAGCATTAGGCTTAACGTTATCGTTTCATGCGCTTATTCGTTCAATTGCTCCAACTTTTGGTGGATTTATATTTACAATTGCTGGTTGGCCTTTTATTGGAGTCATAGGGTACTCTATTCACCTGTTTCTTTCAGTTTTTGTCGTTCTTTTAGGAAAAGATTCCTTTGACTCGAAGTAAAGTGTATTAATTGTTATTTTAACTACTTGATATCCAATTATAAAAAATGTTTACATTTAAACTATGGTTTTTTACTTTTAGATATCACAATAATATTTATAGTCATTATAATATAATCATAACATTTTATAAATTATTTTCTAAAAATTTATTTAAAGAACTTTTTTTTTTTTTACATGGAAAGAATGTAACTTATAACATGTTTATTAAACCTATTGTTACTATTTATTTTACAAAATTTTGGTAAACAATAAATACTAAACGTAGATCAGACGTTTTTTTATGTCAATAAAAAACCGTGTTTACGTAACCAATAACAACAAAGTAATGTTTAAGCAATATTAGCGATAGAAAAGATGCAAAAACAAAAATATTATAAATTGTCTTTATACGGAAAATAAAAGGTAAATTTTAGTTTTTAGGCCAATTACTTAGAGTTCACTCAAAATATATATTGATATATATATATATATATATATATATATATATATATATATATATATATATATATATATATATATATATATATATATATATATATATATATATTTATATATATATATATCAACGTTAACAGCATATAAAATATATTGTGAGGTTAGAGTTTATCTATTTTATATAAACTATATTTAGTTTTGAGGTAAAACATGTTAAAGTAACAAAACCTTTTTACTTATAACACTATTCTGAGATACATACATAAATAAAAACATACATACATACATACATACATACATACATACATACATACATACATACATACATACATACATACATACATACATACATACATACATACATACATACATACATACATACATACATACATACATACATACATACATACATACATACATACATACATACATACATACATACAAGCATACATGTTTTATGTATGTTTTATTACTAGTATGTTTTATGAAACATACTAGTTTTAGCTGAATATGCTGAATAGCATATTCAGGTGTGATTATGACAAACCTGTATAAAGGTTATAACATTTTACTTTAACTTAATGAAAATATAATAACTAATATAAAATATAATTAACATAAAATATAATGATGAAAGCTGTAGAACTTTAAAGTACTATAAAAACAGGGATACGGAGTCCCAAAAGGACTCCATCATTAAATCTCTGTTACTCCTAGACTCCAGGCTTAAAAACTGTCAAGTCATTAAATCTCGTGATAATTCACGTGATTTAATGACTTGACAGTTTTTAAGTCTGGAGTCTTAGCCGGCTTTATGCATAAGTTTCAAAAATTAATGTTTCTCTAAGCTAAAAGCCTTTTTTTTTTTTTTTTTTTCAAAAGTAGTCCATAAGCTTCTTTACAATTTCGTAGCTCTTGAAAACCAAAAATAAGGAAGAAATAATCTTTCGAATTCTAAGTCCTATTTGGGACTTCGCATCTCTGCATAAAAACTTAAGAAGAACAATTACTTTAAACAAAATAATTTATTTCTAGTTCAAGTTTATTTCCTGTTAGAAAAAACCTTATATTGAAAAGTTGAAATCAGATTTTGTATTTATACTAGTTGTTACTCTATTTTTGCATGAATCGTTACGTACATTTTTTTGCATAAATATTGTTATACTATTTTTGCATGAACAAAATAGTATAACACTATACTTAGCTATACTAGCTTCAGTGACAGCTTTACACCTCTTTCTACAGCTTCAGTGTAGCATGGACAGCTTTTAAATTTAATTGTTTCTGAGTTATTTTCATTTAAATCATTTTCCTTTAAATCTTGATTTTGCATCCAATTGACATCTTAGGACTGTAAAACAAATTTCTTGAGATCGATAGACACATTTAATCCGATAATCATAAAATACAAAAATTTTAATGAGTTAGCGGCTATTGAGAATGGCTCATGGGTCTTGGTTTTCAATTACCCCCTATTTAAAGTTAATTATTGTTTGACACGTATCATATAAGTATTTTTAACCTGTACTGAAATCTTCAGCATTAATGCTGAACAGCAAATTTCTTTGTACTTCAAAATACTTTCAATTAGATCACTAAATTGGCCCAAGTGTAGATTCATTAACGTTATTCAGAAAATCAAAAATAAGTCATAGATACAAACAACTGTAGAAATGGTTGAAACAAAGTTAGAGAAGTTGATTAACACCGTCAATATTATCATTGTTTGCATTCGCCATTATAACCTATTGCAAACGATGAACTTTTAACTTATGAACAAAAGCATTTTCATACAAAAATGTTTATTTGTAGTTTTTTTTTTCCTTCTGTTTCGTGACTTTAATATTAACTGTTAAAAACCTTTTTCTTTTTTTTTTTTTTCTTTTTTGATTTTTTGGTCTTTAAGGTTCTTTCAATTTGTTTGCTATTATTATTATTATTCTAATGAAATCAAACAGTGGTAAATTTTTATAATGTTGTTTGGTGCCCAGTGTCCATCAGTCCACATTTCTGAGAATGAGTTAAAATATTGTTAAAATGAACATTGTTAAAATAATAAAATTATAATATATCCTACGGTGTTTTGCGGTGTTCCATCTTAGGGACACTTTTGTTTTTTATTTATTTATCTGGGTTACTTAGAGTCAAAAATTTATTAAGCATCATTTTTGCAAGATGGTACTAACCAATTCTTTTTAAAAAAGATTTTTACAATTACATTCTATTATTTGATATTACTAACTTCTAATCATATTTCATTGGTTCAAATGTAATTAGTTAACTTTAAAAATAAAAAAGATTTGATTCTTTTACTCACAAAAACTTCTCAAACATTTTGATTGATTAAGTTGATAAAGTACTAACAGATTTTATCATTAAAAAAAGTGTTTTTTCAAAAGACTTCACACGGAAGCAATGTAATGATTTTGTTTAAAACAAAATTTGGAATCTTATATAAAGCATGAGTTTATCTGAATAAAAAAAAATTAAATAAACTTTAAGTTTTTTATTTTATTTGAATAAACTCATGCTTAATATAAGACACAAAGCTCAAAGCTCAAAACACAAAACTAACGAGCGAAAGCCGCTGACAAACGGTAAATAAAACGGTAAACAAAATAAAAAAACTTTATTATAAAGTTTTTAAATTATTGCCACTAGAATCGCGCCAACCATGAGGTAGATGATAGAATCAAAAACCTATTCCGACGTTTAAAGTTTTGTTTAAATTGATGACCGGAATATAACAAAATAAGTGTTTCCATTGATTTTTAAACACTTTTTAATAAAAACAATTTTTTTAACTTTATGCCTACCCAAACCAAAACCCTTAGTCAATGTATGTACTCACCTTGTATGTTTTACCTATTTAGTCAGTTGATTTATTAATACTCCCTGAATGTTCTACCCATTTAGTCAGTTGATGTATGTACACTCCCTGCCTGTTCTACATGTTTAAGTCAGTCTATGTGTGCGCACTTCGTAATTTTTATATTAAATAAACTTTTATAAACATTTTGGCGAATGTGTACTTGATTCACGTGTGATTAAAACAATGATTTATTTTAGCAGTTTTTTAAATTGAAATTAACAAAGAAATGCCACTCTCCCCTAACCCCAGGAGTCAAATACACCTCCGCCAACATTATAACTTTTTGTTAACAACAATCATAGACTTTATGCATAAAACTAGAATTAAATACTTTAAAATATAATAAAGTATAATAATAAAATATTAAAATATAATAAAAACTTAAAAAGTACACACAAAAAACGTATGCGCGGAAGAGGAATCGATCCAGCATCGCCTGGCGACAAGGCAAAATGGCAAACCTTTAAATTACTATGCCCTCATATACAATGAAGTAAATTATAATTATATACTATATCTTTTTAAGCTACTCAATTATCAAAAACAATAATTTATTATCTGGCCATTTATTTATACAAAACTTTAAACGTCGGAATAGGTTTTTGAGTCTATTATCTACCCAACCATGAGCTCCGTCTGTCAGAGGTTTTCGATCGTGAGCTTTGCGTTGGTGAAAATCGAACTTTTAGAATTTAATTTTTTTTTAATGAAAGAGCTTTAACTGAATTTGCGTACAACTGTAAATAAGTGAATGTTTTACTTGTTTTATTTGTTTTACTAGTTTTATATTTTTTTCCAATTTCTGATTTTAAATTATTGTGTTTGTAAATAGATTTTAATAAATTTTTACGTTATTAAAATATATGTTATTTAAAATTTATTTTATTTAAATATTTTGGTTTCCGTTAAGACGTTAAGAAGCATTGATAATCCTTTTGTTAATGTTTTAAGAAATGTGAGATAAAAGATTTTTCAGGTTTTAGGATGCCTCAATATGTTAAATTACCACCGAATCTTTGCGATAAAAGTCAACTATGTGGAAAAACGATATATTGGAGAGACTATTGTTCTAATCATAAGAAAATGCAAAGAAGGCACAAGGACCCGTCGACATTTAGAAGAAGCAAGGTTAGAATATTTAAGAAACTAACATTTTTTCAAGAAAAAATCATAATAAATTAACATTTATTATGATTTTTTTTTTTTTTTTTAAAGTTTTTCTTCTCTTTTAAAATTTTAATTCCCATCTGCAAAATAGATTTTCCCTTGCCTTGTGACATAAGCAGGGACATCCCGTGGAAGGGGGGCTTAGGGGCTGTCTAGCCCCTCGACTAAATTTACTATTCAGCATATTGGACATTGGAGTCGGCAAAATTAGATCTATAATTGCCAGTCAGCAAAAAAATATTTTTAGCATTTGTAGGCAAAATGCGTTACCCCCCCCCCTCCTTCTTTAAAATCTCTTCAGGGACGGTCCTGGACATAAGCTCCCCCGAAAGCACAATAAATTTATTAGTTTTATTAATATTAACTCAATTTATATTCATCGTAAAATTTTGGTTATTTTTTACTGATATTTAAGTGTTTTAAAGTTATGATAATATAATTTTTTTTTAATTGCAAACTAGGTGGTAACAATGTTGTATAATTTAAGGTAATATAATTGTAAGGTAATATAATTTTTTTTTAATTGCAGCCTACGTGGTAACAATTTTCAAACAAATATTATCAGATGAAATTTGAAATTTATTAATTTAAATATAATTTAGAATAGTAATAGAATAGAAACTCAATACCTTCTTACTCTCACTGCTTACTCTCACTCGGGTTGAGGGGAGCGAGAGTTTATGTTATTCCAAGGCTCAAATGCAATTTTTGAGAAGCATTTTATTTGATAGTGGCATAAACATGTATAAGTTTGAAGATTGTTCCGTATCTAATAATTAACTTATATATAAAAAAAATTCTCGCAATCTATATCATTGCATGATCTAATTAAATAAATATCTTGTTAAATGCTTAAAATTCTATATAAATATACAAGATGAATAATTACTAAATTAACCAAGAAAAAAATTTTTTTAAACGTCTCATATTTGATTTCTTCAAATAAAATTAACAAGAAATAAGCAAATTTTATTAAAACTAAAAATAAATATAAGAAATAAGGAAAATTTATTAAACGCTTAATTTTTAACATGCTAGTTTTGAACTTTAAAGCAAAATTATATTCGGAATGACATGTAACAAAAAAAAGATATTTTTTGATTTTTGTTATGGCTAAATTGTTAGTTCGATTGTTTATCTTGTTAAGTCATTTGTTATGGCAAAATAATTTCATTAAACTGTGAATCTTTTTTGTGCGAGATACATACTTTTTGAAGTCTAATAGGTCTATAAAAGTTTATTTGTATAAAAAGTTTATTTACAATATCTTTGCCGATGTAATAAACAGCACTGTTATGAATTATATCGTTATGTATTAATACCCTATTATGAAAAAATAAGTTGCGTAACAATAATTACAAGTACAATATTATTAAGGAAAAAAAAACATTTTTCATAAAAATTGCCTAGGGAATAAAATATGAGGGTGAGAGGAAGGCATTTGTCATGGGACATCGAAAACTCTATCACCAAATCTTTATCGTTGATTTGAATTAAACAATTATTCATGTCTTTTTAAACTGCTACTGCAGTTTTAGCTTACTCTAAGTAAAGAAGTTGACTTAACAAAAATCCCACTGAATGCGTTGTTTATATATATTGAGCGTTGGATGGTTAGAAAAAGAATGTTCAAAAGGTGTGGTGAGCTGGTATTAAAAAATTAAATGCTAATATTACAAATAGTAACTTTTTTAATTGTTGCAATATATTATATTATATGTTAATGACTAACAATTTTCTGAAGTAAAATTGATTTATTTTCAAAGACCAACTTAACTTCCTAAGTTGTTTCTTGTTATTAGAGTTTAACTAAAGACATAAAATTCGAGAGTTCAGCTAAACTTAATGAAAACTTTGCAAGTATTGACAAGATTATAGCAGATATGGAAAACACAACCTTAGAAAACGGTGAAAGTAAGTAAATAGTATTGCATTTAAAAATAGTTTTTGTGACATTTAAAGTTATTTAATGCCATTTATTATTTAAAAATTTTTTTTGCTGCCATTTAAACTTAGGATTAATCACTGAACAACATTTTTTTTTTTTACAATTTTAGTCAATATTAAATCACCTCAGAAATCCCAGATTTGATATGGTTTTTAAGATAACGTAGACTTTTTCATGGGTGAGCCGTTGAGTTTTAAAAATATTATTGTATCAGAACTTAACAACATTTTTATTATTGACAAAGTTTTGTATTGCATCCATATTTTAAGTTAATCTTCTGCAAATTCCATGGGTTATACAAAAAGAAAAAGAGAACTGTTGCCATGTCACTCAAGCAATCAAAGTCGTGCTTGATAGTGCATAGCATGCATATGATTCGAGGAGCTTAATATAAGATGCTAATCTCTAAGGTGAACAACTGTTGCAGTGTGAGATCAGTAACCAACTATTGATTACAACTATAAAAGCTGCGTTCACTTTAACCTCTATTATTCTGTTAGATGTAATGTCTTTTTTAATGCATTTCTAAAATGTTCCTTTTAATGTTTTAAAACACTGTATACAGAAAGTAACTTTTTCTATTAACTACTCCACGTCAGATTCAGCATCATTAAAATAACCTAGCTATTGGCATCATGTCACCCAGTACTACCTGCATTATATCCTGTTGTCTTGTAGAGTTTGCTTTTTTTTTTTATCCAAAATCTAATAGAATTAAACTCGAACTTAAAAATCTGTCTTAAGCTTTTGATTTAGTATAATTTATTATAGATTTAGTTAGAGATGGTATCTTGATAAAAATACTCATTATAGGCAGATGACAACAGCACCTGTCACAGCTATTGCCTTGTAAAAAGCCTCCTAGGCGAAAACTTTAGCAGTAAAAAGAATAATTATGTTAACCAGCCTCAAATCCCTTCTTCATCTGTTAGGATGGCGTAGATGTAAAACTGTGTTACATTGTTACCTGCCTAGGATGATGAGTGCTGGATCTTCTTCACTCATAGAGTTTTGCTTGTGCCTCCTTGATAGTTGCTATCCAACTGGGTTAGCTCTAAAACTCAGTTTAATGGTTCTGAGGCAGGCTGGTAGTAAGGTTTCCTTAACGGAAAGTTGGTGATTCCATTAACAGCTTTAAAATATGGTGCCCCTGTTAATACTTTTGGTGTGAAAAGTATTAAATCAAAAAATAGAATAATCGAATATTATTCACAATATATACATATATACATATTTATATATATATATATATATATATATATATATATATATATATATATATATATATATATATATATATATATATATATATATATATATATATATATATATATATATATATATATATATATATATATATATATATATATATGTATATTGTGTTAAAAAGATAACTTCTTTCATTTAAGAATATTTTAAAAGAAAAATCAAAACTAGGTAAAACTGATTTATTCCAAAGAAAAGGACGTTTGATACTGTAACCTTTAAAATAACTACTTTAGACAATGAGACATGTAAAAACAAAACATTCGCATCAAAAAATGTAACTTTCAGTACTCCTCCGAAATCTGCTGATGTATTGCTTTCTAAAAGGGTATCTTTGGAACCACCAACATCATACTTTGGGAAACATTTCAGAGATGTATCAGAAGAAAATTATAAAGATTTCAACGGAGAGCAAAGTTTTTCATTGGTAAAATTATATTTTTTATATAAAAAAAAAAAGTTTGGTAGGTTTTTAAGAGCTTTCGTATTTAAATATCTTAACGGATTTTCTTAACGGTATTTTGTAAAATATTATTTTTTTTGTATTGGAAGTATATTTTGTTTATGTTATTGCAGTGTAAAAAAATTTGTAATTAATATGTAGCTGTGAAAATTTGAAGTAAAAAAAAAAAAAATAGGGTTACCATACGTCCTCTTTTTCCGTAGAAGAGTTTGCTAAACTACATGAAAGTCAAAGTCAAAATTAAGAACTAAATGTAATTAAAAACTAGGCGCAAAAATATATTTTAGCGCGTGTTCCTTCGTAAAAAGAGGACGTTTGGTAACCCTAAATATGCATGTAATATTTCTACAGTCAATTTAACAACATATGCATATACTATTTTGATACACATAAAATGAATTAGTGACTGGCAGAGTCAGTTTCGTAGACTGGCAGAGCGCTCGCATCATAAAAGATTGCATAACAATAATGACGTAATAATAAAGATTTAAATATCTTTTTAGGTACCTATTCAAAGAACAAGCAATGATAATGCAGTTTATATTCCAGCTCAACATAATAGAAGCAATTCTTATCCAGTTTATCGACAATTGTGTTCAAATTGTTTATCATGCAGATGCAAAGAAAGTGCTAAAGATCCGGATGTCTTACAGTAAGAACCCAACGAAATTTATAGATTTTTTAGTGAATTTAGTTTTTTTTTTTTTTTTAAACTTTTATTACCATTTATATATTTAGGTAATAAAAGCGATAATTTTTACAAATATCAAAACAGTAATAATAATTTTTTTATAAATATTTATGTAATATATATATATATATATATATATATATATATATATATATATATATATATATATATATATATATATATATATATATATATATATATATATATATACTTCTTTTTTTTGAAACTTTAAAGCAGGGTAAGCAATATAATGTTGATAAATTTGTCACTGATATATCGCCACACTTAATAAATCTCTAATAATAGGGACTTTTAATGACTTGTAATAATTAGTTAAGCAGAGCAGAAAAACTGATATTAAGGTAAATATAAAATATGATAGTGATAAAAATTGTTTATATACAATTTTTATTATTTTACTAAGAAACAACCTATAAATTTTTCAAGAAAAATGCAATCTTTTGATTTTTTTTTTTACTTTTTCGGCCCAAAATTGAAAAAATACCTGTGCATTTCACTCGATCGTTATCTAACAAACATTTATTGCGCATTGTTTTACCATTCTAAACACCTCATATTCATCAATTAGAAGTTTTGTCATACGGTGCGTAGGTTTTGATATGTTTTAATTACCCAATTTGCTCCTATGATTAACTAGAACCGCCCTATCCTTAAACAAAAATAAAAATTTAGTTGCTCTAATAAAGACCACATTGTTTTTGTAAAGCTTCTGGACTTTTTTCGAAGTTTTTTTAACTACTTTCTGTTTCCTTATTTATTTATTTTTTTGAAGTTTTAGGCTTGTGTTTGATTTTGACCTTCCCTCGTTTGTAAATTTTTCAATAGATAGGTTTGAAAGTTTCTCCACTAAAGAGATCTTCTTTAAAAGAATGATGTACACTGTTAGATTTGAGCCCAAAGAAAACAACCCATTGTAAAATAAACAATCATTTTTTTTAGTAAAATAAAAGAATTAAATAATTTGCCATAAGTGAAAATCTAATTCCCAATTATAATTGCTTTCTCTAATCAAAATGTTTGCATAATTTGATTCATAACGAATTTCAGCCATCAAGATCGTATTTTATTTAATAAAACTAAAGTATGATACATAATATCTTTGATGAGCTCAAAAACTGAAGAATTTTATTAATTAAAATCTTTATTAGAAGGAATCATACCAAGTTGGCAATCAGCTAAGTTTGAGTTCTGGGCTATCTTTAATGCAAGACAAGGCGTTGCACATTGCAAGAACTGCAGCATGAAACATACCAATATCAAGCGGGTTATCACTGGCGCCACAATTTTTTTCAGTTAGTTGGAAATTTTTACATAAAATAAAGTTTTTAAGCAAAAAAAATGTTTAAAATTAAAAATTAAAATTAAAGAGTAAAAATAAACTTTTAAATTGTCTGAATCATTGATTATATTTAGTAACTTACCTGGGTCAAAGTTTGTATCATTTTTTTGGTTTTCAATTATGTTAGCAATACGCTACTAACATAAAGAAGATTTGTAAGATTTTGAAGCTAGGGCTCTACAACAGTTTTCAACTTGAGCGATTCTAGGAACCGATTGATTCTATTACAATCAAATGAATGAGGTCATGGCAAGATAATACCACAAAAAGATATATTTAGGTTTAACTTATTTCAATAATTTTTAGAAAAACTTTTTAGAACTTTTTATTTTTGAATTCATTGCATTGTGGATGATAAATCATGAATACATACCAACTAATAAATCCCTTCAATTCCTGAGACAAATAGATTTGTCTTTTGTATATCGAGTTATATACCAACCATCTCATCAATCTTTGCATCATTTTGCATAGCGTTTCTCCGATAACCTTTTTAAGTACTTTAGAATCGCAAATTGTTTTTATTTATTAGATTAGTTATGGTTTTGTGATAGTTCTCTCATTTTTGTGATATAAACGTTGCGATTATGTTTTAGTCTTAAGAGACAATTGAAATTCTAATTAAAGTTTGCATGGACATCGTCAATAAAACTAAATTTTATAAGAAGACTTTGGACTTGTTAGAGATTAAGTTGAGCTGATGCCTAATTAACAAACAAATAGGAGTTACTTGAAAATAATTTTTAAAATAGTTTTGCATTTTATATTTATTAACTTAAAATATTTTTTGTGACTGTTTTAAACAGTTTAGAGTTTATTATGTCAATTAGTTATACTAAAAAACTGGTTTGTACTAAAAAAATGCGTTGTACTAAAAATCTAAATGTTGCTTCAGCATTAATGTTACTTATTTTTGTACCCTATAAAGTATTGGAGCAACTATTAAATAATTAAAAATATGATGATACCCTGTATCATCATATTTTTGATGATACAGGGTATCATCATATTTTTAATTATTTACCCTGTGATGCAAATTTTAAAATTATTTAATTTTGTCAGCGGAAAATAATTTAATTTGAATGTTCAAATATAAGTCAAATTTTGACTATATAGACAATAAAAACACCTGTGATAAGAATAACTTCAATAACTTCATATAATTTGATAAAAATTAGTGAAAATGTAGCATACGGCTGCACCAAACATTAAATAAAACTTCAGCTGGATTGGTTGACTGGTTAAGGATTTATGGAAGTTTTAGTTTATATTTTGTTAATTTTTTGCTACTTAGACCTCAATACGCTACCAATTACTGTGATATTTGGTTACTATTTTTAAAATAATGTTTACATGAGTGTTTCACTACGTAATAACAACAACTTTTATTTAACTTTTTTATTGCTATGACAATATTTTCATTTTATAGACCAAAATATTGATTATCTATTTAAAGCGTGGTTTTATTTGGCTTATGCTTTGTGTGAAAATATTTCCCTAAGTATAAACTACTCTCAAAATGCATGAAAATGTTTATAAATGAATGAAAAGGTACCGACATAAAAAATATATATATAAAATTTAGATAAGAAAAATCTTATGAAAGGGAGTCTTTTGAAGAGCAGTAAAAACCTTTTGTAGAAATGTGTCATCTAATAAAATCTCATCTAAGTTGTCACTAATATAAATTCAGGTTAAACTTTGTAACAGAGATAGCTTTATTTAGTAAAGTTGGATTTAGTGAACTGCAACATCAGGCAAAGCTTTACAATGAAAATCCAAAATATGCGTGCTTGCTCTGTCTGAATAAATGCTTAGGACAGCTTACTGCTTTCCAAGCAGATCGAAAATGCCAACTGTAAGAGGCAAAGATCAATATTAGTGATTCTTGGGTATCACAAGGGCTTTGCGAATCGTGTAGAACAATATTACTCCCGCCTTTATTTAGTTTCAATACAATACAAGTGAGACCTGAAACAGAAGGCATGTTGTGTTACTTAATGATTTGCCAAATTGTTTGTTCAAAGCAAAAACATCCTCAAAAACAACCTCCCACTCAGAGGACTGGCAAATTTTAAGCAAAGTTAAGAGACAAATTTTTGATGCTGATGTAAAATGTTGAAGAATTTAAAAAAATAACTCACAAAAAAAATGTTATTAAGACGGACGTCGAGGTGACAATGTAGCTATCTTCATTACTGATGTATTTATCTTTCATGAATTTAATTAGTTCTATAAAACTTTTCTCAAACAAGCTTTGGTATCTGTAAAACTTAACAATAAACACATACTTATCTAGGTTATCCATAGACCAAATGATGCTAATTTAACATAATGTTTTCTTTTAGCCTTTAAATTAGCTCATAGCTTAATTAAGGAGGCCTATGATGTTGCTTCACTAGTAAATTTAAGATATCACATTTCCTACGTCCAAACACCCTTTGGTTGCTCAAACCATAAGTTGGACTTGTTATTTACATACAACAGTAATTTTGTTTTAAAATTGTTTCCTAATGCCATATTAGGTAATAATACTAAGAGTCGCTTTACTGTCACATTAGGAATTTTAGTTTCAAACCCGTTTCCCAAAAGTAAATTTCAGGTGTTTAGTTATAGCAGTTGATTAGGATTCAATACCAAACTTTACTGCATCAATCAAATGGAATATTTTATTTTTGCATAAAACCGCGGATTAAATGTTTAATTTAATAATTTTTAACAATTTACTGTTTGCGAATATTTCATACCCATAGTTAACAAAACAATGAAAAAATATAATCCTTGGGTTACTCCACATATTAAAAATTTAATCCGAGAAAAAATATATCCGCTCGGTATATCAACTACTAAATTAAATGGAAGAATTATAAGCTTAAAATAAACGGTTACCTTCTTAATCGTTTTCTAAAACCTGATGTTTAAGCAAAAAGAGCATACAAAAAGAAATAATATTAACATCCCTCTGAATAATTTCCATCTGAATAAACTTATAATGACAATTTAGGTTTTTCTATTTCAAACATTATTAACTTTAATTTTTGAATACTACTCTCTCTCTCTCTCTCTCTCTCTCTAAAAAATAGCAAATTTTAGTTTGGTCTATTTAGATAAATTACTTGCTGAAAACTCTCGACCTATTTCACTAAATTCTTTTTCCTGCAAAATAGTCAAAATACTTGTTAAGGACAAAAATCTTTATGCACATTAACAATAATAAAATGCTCTCTGCAAATTAACATAACTTTCTTCATCATAAATTATGCGTGACTAATCTTATAGAGACTTTTGATATTATTTCATCCTCTAGAGTACTTCGCCAATTTATTGATGTAATTTCGATTTCGCCAAAGCGATGATTCTTTACCTCAATACAGACCTATGGTAAAGTTAAAATAATCCGGAATAAATGCGAAACAAAATAAAAAAGTTTAATAAATCAATCCCTAAAGTGCGTAATTTAGAAGTTATTATTTCATGTAACGCCAATTGAAGCACGCATTTATGAACAGTTGTCAAAGTCCTTACAATTTCCTGGTATGTAAAACGACATTCACTTTCTTTGATGAAAGTATGGCTTTCAAATTATATAAAGTGTTTATTAGACCACACCATATATATTCAGTGTCTATTTGGACTTCTTATTTAAAAACTGAAAAAACCTTGGTTGAGTCCAAGCAGCAAAATGACTTAAGACATCTTTAATACTGCAAAAGATTAAGAAGATTGTATCTACCATCTTTGACTAGATGGTAGATACAATCTTCTTTTTGTGTTTTGGTTGGGGTAGCTATAAGTTTTCGGTTAAATGAGAATTTCCGCACTTTTTTCCCCCATTTTATACATTAAAAATTTCGGCATTCTTGCATTTCACCCGTGTTCACAATAACATATTACGATATAAGCTGCTCACTTAAAAATATAATTGCAGCACTTATGTATATTTGACATTACCCATTAGCGTAGCAACAGCAAAAAGATTAAGCAAATTAAAACACATTTAAGGATAAAAATGGCGCCATTTTGTCTGCACTAGACCTAATAGCAACTGAATCATAAATCGCAGCTCAATTAATATTAAAAGTTGTTATAGCAACTGAATCATAAATCGCAGCTCAATTAATATTAAAAGTTGTTATAGCAACTGAATCATAAACTGCAGCTCAATTAATATTAAAAGTTGTCATAGCAACTACATCGTAAGTAGCAGCTCAATTAATATTAAAAAGTTGTTATAGACCAATTTGCAGCTATAAAGATAAGAAAAAACTTACATTAGATCTTCTGCTTACTAAACTTGCATAGTGGTTCCTATATTAACTGTTGAACTGGTTCCTATTTAATAAAATCAAAATTGTTTTTGAAAATAAGGTTTTTTTTTCATTTATAATTTTTGTTAAGAATACAGAAGGGAGGGGAAGGGGGTAGCAGAGAAGTAATTTAGGGGCCCGGATTAAAATGTTGCAGGGAGGCCTATTTTTTGTTGCTACATTACTACCTACTGATAGTCTTTGTGACAGATTTTGCACTTTTTGCTAGCAGTTTACACTTTTTGGCAGTTGTTTATATTTTAGAATATGTTCAGATACTTACGCTATGCATTGGCCAATTCAAAACACGATTCAAAAAGCAGATCAATATTTTTTTCTATAGAATGAAAATAGTAGATGCAGCAAATCACCTTTTTGGCTCCAGTTTTAACATATAATAAACTTTAGTCTTTACGGTTTTAAGTGTTTTTTAATTTCCAAATTTAAAAAAGTTTAAATTTAAAAATATATTTTCAAATTTATCTTTGCTAAAATAATTTTTTTTTTTTTAAATTATGTATTTATGCTTTTTTAGACTTAAAATGGACTCACAAAAACAGCTTAACGCCAGATATACAGACCCAAACGAAGACTATATCAACTACAGCACATTTTTTCACGATGCTAGAAGAAAATCACGAGGTTACTTTATTATACATCCAGAGTTTGTTTCAGAAAATAATAAAGCAACGCAAAGAAGACAACTTGATGAAAAGTACATTGGGCAGACCGTGCTGGGTACCCATTATATCAACGCGTAACTTTTGTAACACTTTAAAAACACTTTTATATTTTTTAAGGTCTTGAAAAAAATGTTATTTGTAGGTATAAAATAAGAATTTTTCGCAAGTTTATAATAGAAAAGAAAAAGTAATTTTAGCGAGGTAAACTAAGGTCAATTTTTGACTTTTTCTCTGATTGTCTTACGAGCCAAATAGTTTATATTATCAAAAAAGTAGGTTAACCATAATTTTTCTTTTGAAAAACATAAGAATATATTTTTCTTAAAATTGGTTGTAAAAGTAAATATAAATAAGTAATTATACGAAAAATATTTATAAAAGAAATTATATTGTAAAGTAAAAGGTAATTTATAAATTCCATTCAAAAATATAAAGTTAACACAAAAGATTCAAAAATAAAAAGTTAACCAAAGGTTGCTAACCTGAATATTTAGCTTGATAAAATTATTCACTAAAGAAAAGATTTCTGCTTCAAAGATATTCTTATAGACTCATAACCTTGAAAACCATTGAAATAAATGAACAAAGCTGTTTGTATTGCTTGTCAAACTGTTGCGTTTCTAACTTTATGCAACATACTTTAACTAAAGCTAGTGAAAATCATATATTTACTATAAAATTAGATCTTTATATAAGTAAGTTATCGTTGAATTAAAATTTCAATTTTTTTCAAAAACTAATACTTTAGTTAAATTTGTGACCAAATGAAAAGCTTCTTAAAGGAATTTACTTGAAAGGTTCAGAAACTATTACAACCTCACTCTAGATTGTTTAAACACTAAATTAATTATTCCACAACAGTTTTTTTAGTGTTTTTTTTACCAAAGCTGAAATATAACTTTTTGTTCTGCTTCACACCATGCAACATCAATGCAACATCAATACAACATCAATGCAACAACAACAAAGTTGTATCATAACTAGTTTTTTTGAAAACTGATTTACTAAGATGGCCGTTTGTTACTGGAGACAAAAGCAATTGATTTGTCAATTCTTTTTTAAGCGCATGTGTAATCAAAGAATGTTTACTAAACACGGTACACAAGGCGACATTTTTTGATAAGTTTCATTGATGGTTACGGAGCTTGTTAATCACGACATCCACAATATCTTTGTTATATGTTAACAAAGATATCAATAACAAAATCAATCATGTCGTTATTAAACTTGAGGTCATAAGACATCTGATACACAGGATGTCTTCATACCGGAATGTAGAAACGACCCGAAAATCTATTTATACGCGTGGGTTTAGTAACCATGTCATCAACTATTATACTACATCTATATGGAAAACATATACCTATTTTCAGCATACATGTTTTTGACCATCCATCCTGTTTTATGTATAGCTTCTAATTTAAGAAAGTGGACACGTTGAATCATTTCACCCAAAATTATCAGATGATAATTATCTTTTGACGTTTGAACTTTCTAGTTTTCCAAGTTGCAGATCTTGGTATATTAAGTCTTTAAGACTTTGATATCTCAAGAAGATTTTGCTATTAATATAATCATTGTTGTTTGATTGTCTAAAAACTTGAGACAATCAAGAGCTTTAGTTCACATGAAAATAATACAATGCGATCAGGTATAATCGCATTGTATTAAGTGAGTAATTAAAAAAAATATTGGGAGGATGTTCAGTTTGAAAGCAGGTAATTCAGAGAAAGGAATAATCGTAATCGAATTAAGTATACGAGACTACATGGTGACTACACGAGACTACATGGTGATGACGGAATGCTAATGAGTTAGATAAGACAAATATACTAATAAAATATTATATTTTATTTCTTATGCACAATTAATGTTTACGTTTACTTTACAATTTTTTTTAAATAAAATAATTTTAGAACATGTTGTTGACATGTAATAATGATAAATAGAAACTTCACTCAAAGACATTTCAAGAATGTTTAATAACTCATACGCCCTAGAGTGTACGTCAGGGGGATTATCAAGTAAGGGAGGGAAGTGGCAATTTCCAGATTTTTTCAGGAACCCCATAAATCATATAACTTTATAGTAAATTTTTGTTTGAATATCAGGAATTAATTAGGTGTTGTTGGCGAAGTTATTGATTTTTTCAATGCTTCTGCAAAACGAAATAAAGAACAACTAAGTTCACTACTTTTACTATGCAAAACACGATGGTTTTGGAAACATGTCGCTTTGCTGACGTTTAGCTTTAAGCTTCCAAAAACAATTTATGCATTAGGAAGTATATCTAAATGGAATGACAGTACAACTTCATCAAAAGCAAGAGTTTTACTATTATCAAATAAAGTAAGTGATTTTATTGTATCTTTAGGTACAAGTGTTCTCTCGAACATTTGATCCCAGTCAGTTTTTCAAAAAAAAATTAGATGTGCATATAGTAAAATATTGCAATAGAAATCTGTTCATTGTTTTAAATTAAAAAAAAAAAGAAAACTGCGGAGAAATGTTTAAGCAAATTTTTAGAGCAGCAGAAAAAACAACAATTAAAAAAGATGGTAGTTTTACGTACAAAAGAATAGAGCAACAACAGATATGCTGTAAAAATAAAACTTCAGAAACAACGGAAGAATATTGCAGGCAATCAATTTATATCCTCTTTCTTGATTTACTAATTTTTTTACATAAATACACGTTTTTTTATAATGAAAATTTGCAATGTTTTGAAACCTGTTCATTGATGTCAAAAAATATTGTTACGCTCAATCATAAAATATTGTTGAAACTGTTTCTGCAATCAGTAATGTCTATGGTGTTGTTCTCGGACTTACCTGCACCTGAATTTACATTAGAGATTATACTATGGCAGTGAAAATGTATAAGAATGATGAGTGAAAATGAAGAAAGATGAGTGAGGAATCACTCCCTACTGATCTTTTTATTGTTTTTGATTTGTGTGACCAGGTGCAATATCCAATCATTCACAAGTTGTTTCAAATTATTAGGTCATGTCCTGTAAGTATCGCTAGTGCTGAACGCAGCTTCTCAACCTTGCAATGAATTAAAAGCTGGCTAAAAAATTACGAATGACAGAAAACAGAATAGTTGGATTGGGTTTAGAGAAATTCCAAAAAATGTTGAAAACCTGATTGACGTTTTTTTATATTCGGAAAATCGAAAAAAATTAGAAAATGTGATATAAGTTGTTATAATAATCCACAAATAAGGTTTTAAATACGTATTTAGTTAAACAATTAAACTAAATCTTCATCAAATAGTTGTATTTCTATAAATTTAAATTATAAATATATTTTAATATTTTATCTGACCATGCATGCTTTTTTTATAAAAGGATACAAACGCGAGGTATATGTCACAAAAACAGTTTTTTCTATAGGGAGAAATTTTAAGATCGTCCGACTAGCCGACTAAATTCCTAAAAAAACCAACTATAACTTAAAAATCACCTTCTTTGGAGGGGGGGGGGGGGTTATATCCCCGTAAAATTTCCTTTGCCTAGTTAGCACAGCAGAAAATGTCATTGCTGACGTCATACTGAAACAGGGAGAACATACAAGAAAGTGTACTTACATCGATTGAGGGTTGCTTTTAGGACAGGTATAACTTAGATGAAAAAAATTAATAATTTTATTTCGTTTTTTTTATTGTATCAGCTTTGATATCATTATAATTGTATCAACTGTGATACCATTATAACATCATAACTCGTTGTATAACAATTTGTTTTTCCAATACTTTATGTTATAAATGAAAAACTCTTTGGATTTAATTTGGCCAGAATTAGGTGGTGGAATGAAGACGAGTCAAACTAGATGAATTTAAAAGTAAAAAAACAATAATTGGTTATATCTTATTAAATATTGGTTATATATATATATATATATATATATATATATATATATAATATATATATATATATATATATATATATATATATATATATTTCTTAATATTTATGTTTAGTTTAGTAAAAACCCGATAAGTTTTAAAAGAGGTTACCAACATGCAACCATGATAAATAGATATTTCGCAAAAAAGATAATTCAAGAATATCAGGGTTAGCGTTTAGATCGTAATTAAGTAATTCTTATCGGTTTGCTAATCAAACAAACCGCTCCATTAACATATATTTTATTATAAAACCTTTTAATGCTGTTACCGACGTGGTATTGTGGTTACCTTTTCAATAACACCATTACATAAAAATGTTCATTTATCATTGCATATATTTTTCATTTAGATGCTTGTATTAGTGAGAAACTTAAATTTAGCTTTGCCAAACATGCATACTAAACAGATCTTTAAAAGTCACAAAGTTTGCCGTCCAATCGACAACTCAGCTCAGCCTCCAGAACCTCTCAACGACTCATATCATAAAAATAAAAAAAATATTATATATTGTTTTTTCTTTTTTAAATAGTTATCATTGGTTTCTTTTTTTAGCAAAGTGTTCTTTTATCCATTGACTTGGACATATCCTTCTTCCTAAATGTAAGTGTAGGATTAAATAATTTTTTTTTTCTTTTATTATTTTTTTTGTAGAATTAAATATTTTTTTTTTTTACAGAGAAAAGATGTTTAAACTTCAGAAATAAAATTAAAAAAAATTTTATTTATGAATTGTATTTCTGTAGAAAAACAATTCATTTTACTCTTTTATACTTCTGTAAAAGTATTTCATTTTAATTAATATTCATTAATTAATAAGGAACATAAATTAGTTTCAACGCATCACCAATAAAAAAAAATAAATACATAAATACAAATAATTCTCGCCAATATGAATTTACAATTTGCTTACGGTTATTTTAATACAGCAAAAAATTTAATTAATCAATAAAACAATACAGAAAAAAAATTAATTGGTTAATAAAAAAATCAGCAAACAATTGATTTTTTTAACTATTTAAGTTTTAGAAAGAAAAAAAGTATCGTTTTGTGGTTTAAAACCAAGGAATGCTCTAATTTTATGACAAAGCGAACAAAAGAAATTTCTTTAAATTTAAAAAGTAATTTGTTATAAAACTTCGTGTTATTTAAGATAAAGGATATGTCCTGGGATATATATTGTTATTTAAGATAAAGGATATGTCCTGGGATATATATTGGAGATACCACTGGGTACCCCCCCTCCTTACACACACAAACTGGTAGATTTTTCACTTTATAAAACAATTTTTTAAGCAAAATTTCAAACCAAACGAAACTTAAACTGATTCAGACTTTACACAAAATATATATATATATATATATTTTTTTTTTGAAAAGTAGTGTTCGACAAATTAATAATATAAAATTAATACATTTTTCACAAAAAATATATCAATTTTATATTATTCCGTAAAGTAGTGTTCAGCACAACTTTAAAAATTTGACGTTATTAAATATGTAACAACTAAAATTCAAAAATCAGATGTCATGAAATATTTCACAATTAAATCACAAACATTTAAATCACGATCAGTTATCGATAAAAATAATATTTAAACTAGGTTTAAGTAAAACAGCATTAGCCAGATAAAGCTTTTTATTCTAAAGACATATTTTATACATATAAATAAAATTTATATTACAAATTTTCACTAAGATAAATATTACTTTGTTTGTCGGTATTGCTTTTTGGATTGCAACCGGCTTATCCCGTCATCGTTTCTTTTAACGATTAATTTGCGTACGCGTAATGTAAAATAGTGTTAAAAAATCTGTGAAACGCTATTTATTTAAGCCAATCGTCATCAATTGTTTACATTTTTAATTTCTGAAAAGCGAAAATAGGGATTATACAATTTCTGTATTATCATATCGCCATTTGTGTTTTCAGCTGCTGCATAGCAAACAGACTTTTTTTCATGCTATACCAATGGTTCACCCTCAATCTTGACATAACACTTCAAACAAATTTATTAGGTAACTGTATTGTACAACACTTTAATCCATGCGATGCAACTGGGAGACTGGCGACCTGCGTCCAAGTATCTGTAATTGTATCATAACATTCAGTTTGTAAAGTGCAAACAGCATTTCTATCGCAACCACCAACAACATAAATTTTGTCTCCATTTACAGCCACTCCTGCATCCCAGCGAGCAGTAGATGCTGATGAAATAAATGACCACTCGTCAAGTTCAGGTTGATAGACTTCTGCTGAACTTAAATGATTTTTACCATCCCAACCACCTGTTATAAAAACATCAAAACAATTATAAACAATTCAAATAAATTGTTAATATATTTTGTATTGAATTTTTGATCCATTTAAAATTGAATTTGTTCATATATATATATTAAAAATTCAATACAAAATATATATATATTAATATATTTTGTATTGAATTTTTGATTCATTTAAAATTGAAATTTAGACATTTGTTGTATGTAGGTATGTGTGTATGTACGTATCTATCTATATATATATATATATATATATATATATATATATATATATATATATATATATATATATATATATATATATATATATATATATATATATATATATATATATATATATATATATATATATATATATATATATATATAAAAGAATGGAAAAAACGTTTTGCCAATCATAAAAAATCTTTTAAAAATATTCAAAAGACACCATGCTGTCAAAATATATATGGGAAATAAAAGATAAAATGATTGATGATTTTATACTGAATTCATCCTTAAAACAGCGCCTGCATACAACAATATTTCAAAAAAATGCATACAATGTCTACAAGAAAAATTTGAAATAATTGCACATGCAAACCAAGAATGTTCATCACAAAAAATCACAAAAAAAGGGAAATGATTTCCAAATGCAGGCACAAAAATTAGTTTCTCCTAAAAATTTATAAAAAATAAGTGAGCTCAAATAATAGTTACATTAAATCCCCCTTTTAAAAATATTTTATATTTATGCATACATATATCAAGATCATATAGATCAAATTATATTAAATATTTAAATGAAAATATATATATATATATATATATATATATATATATATATATATATATATATATATATATATATATATATATATATATATATATATATATATATATATATATATATATATATATATATATATATATATATATATATATATGCATAATTTGACTTTGTGTCAAAAAAAATTCTGTCAAAAAAAAAAAGAAAAGAAATTTAAGATAATAAATCAAGTTTCAGCATCACTTACCTATAACATATATCTTTCCGTTAACAGCAGCACAACAAGCACTTGCTCTACTGCAGCTCATTGGTGCAATCTCTGACCAAGTATTTGTATGCGGATCATATTTTTCACCACAGTTTAAAGCCATACCTAAAATGTAAATAATAACAACAACAAATGATTAAATAGTATCTAAGATTACAAACACAAAAAAATAATCACTACATTTATGCAGTTAAAAATATATTAAAAAGAACACACCAACATAGCTTACTCCTCCAATCACATATAGATATTTATGAGCAACAACACCTGGGCTGCTTCGTGAAGCAGACATTCCAGGAACTGAAGACCATGTATTTGTTGCAGGATTATAGCGTTCCACACTATTTAATCGCATGTTATTTTCATCACACCCACCAACAGCATACAAAAAACCTAAAAAAGGTTTTCACCATCAACAATAGGAAAAAAAAATTTAATTCTTTCCATCAAATAAATGTTATACTTTAATTTATTCTTAAAACAAAATTATAATTTATAAGTTCAAATTATACTGTTAATCTATCTATTTAACTATATATATGTATGCATGCTTTATGATTAAATTATTTGAAAATATATTTCTATATATTAGTATATAAATACTGCTACTACTACTACATAAATATATATTTATATATATATGTATATATATACATTTTTGGTACTTTTCCTCCCCAAGGCCAAGAAGGCCACTACAGATGAGGAGGCTACTTGTGGTTATAACCCTCTCCCAACTCTATAATTAATTATATATATATATATATATATATATATATATATATATATATATATATATATATATATATATATATATATATATATACGTTTAAACAATTTTAAAAATGTATTCTACAAAATAGAGTGCTCAATGTTCTTAAAAAAACAGAGCAATTATAAATTAGTAGAAAATCACTTAACAAATTTTTTATTTTATTTTACACTGTGTTTCATCAACAAAGACTCATCAGAAATGAATGATCAAATTACTAAATCTTTAATTTATACCAATATATATATATATATATATATATATATATATATATATATATATATATATATATATATATATATATATATATATATATATATATACAGATATTAACCCAGGCCTTAAGAAGTGTTGTGCCATGTGAATTTTATGTACAAAATGGCGATTTCACCTATGCATTAGGCCATTAACATTAGACAAAAACTTTTTCAATTAGCTTATTTTTGAAATAGTTTATGAGTAATTCCATGTCAAATGACCCAGAAAATTTTAAAAATGACATCTTATATCTCAGATTTTGCTATTTTTGAATCAGCTGATAGTACTTAGTAAAAGAGAAATTACTTGAAAATTTTCGCCTTTGGCTTCAAAAAGGTCCTGAAATATGACCATTTTACTTTTAACAGATGTTTGACAGGCCCCTCTTGTCCCCTCAAACTTGCAACATTTATTTAGAGGTTTCAAGTGACATAAATTTGAAAATTAAGTAGAATCCTGTTAACTCGGACTCTGGATAAGTCGGACTTTTACTATGTCGGACAAATTTTTAATTGCTTTGAATTCTCTATACATACCCAAAGCTTCGCTAAACTCGGACATTTGGCAAGTCGGACAAAATATATATACCTATTCAGAGTCCGAGTTAGCAGGATTCTACTGTATTTAATCTTTTAACTTAAAAATTTGTAACTGGCTATTTTCAGGGGTTGCGAATCCAATGAGATGATCACATTTGTAAAAATAAAAATTTATATACCTGTATTTATCAATTTAAATAAATTTAGGCAATTTTTTATATACCTGATTGATGCTCAAGAAACCCATGTGGCTTTGATGAATATCAAAAAAATTATTACACATCATTCTATATTCATTGATCTTTCAAAAAATATAAAAATTTTGATCTGCAAGTATATAGATTTCCATATAGGGATAATGGGGCGCGGTCACCACTTTTTTGTAGCTAAGTATTGATTTTCACTACTTTCCAGATTAGCTGGAGCTCTGAAGCTTTTTGCATTTCTGTAGTACCAATGAAAGCACATGTTAAAATTATTTTCAGATCCCAAGACACAAGGGTGGGGGTCTGTGTCATGGGCCCCAATTTTTTGTAGTGGAATCTTGTAATAGATTTTTCACTACTTTCCAAACAAACTGGAGCTCTAAAACTTTCAGTATCTATGTATTCCTGATAAAACTGTGTTAAATTTGTTTCCAGAGCGGATGACCAGTGGGCCTGGGCCAGGGCACTGGGGGCCATACCCCATGTTTCTCAAAAAAAAAATTTAATAATATAAAGATAACTTTGAAAATATTGCTTTTAAACAAATTTTTTAGTTAATAATTTTTCCATTCGGTTTTTGATCATTCTGTATTCAATGATCTTTCTTAAAATGTTTTTAGAAAGTACATGTTTATAAGATTTTTGATTTGCAAGTATATGGATTAAAAACAGCCATCCATCTAAAATAATGATTTTAACAGAATTTTATTTTGTTTAAGTTAAGCTTTTTGAATTGAAAAGAAAACAGACAACATTGATCTGTCAGACAACAACAATTGAAGAATACAAATTGATGTTATCAGAGGCAATAAACAAAATAACAGCTCATTCCAACATTGCAAAATGTCAAGTAAAATACCAACAAAGACAACAAAAGGAAATGTTGGCTGTATTGTTTTTGGTGATTTTGCAGATTGCAGACTACACATTGCGATTCAAGATGATATCTAAAGTTACCATTAGTGCCAAAATAATTGCACATTACGCCCTGTTGCCCTCTATTTATTAAGTGAAAATAACCAGAAAATTATTAAAGAAATTACTAAAGAAAATTATTTTGCTTAATGTCGGAAGATAATGAGCATGACATTGGTTTTGTGTATGAAGTTCGGGCACAAAAAGTTAATTATTTAAAAGAAAACCATCCTAATATTTCTAAGATTCTCTATTTTTTAGATGGTTGTGCTTCACTGTATAAAAACCTTTACATGCATGTTTCCATAAAGATGATTTTGACATTGATGCAGAGTGGACATTCTTTGCTACAAGTCATGGTTAGTCATCATGTGATGGTATTGGTGGTACTGTAAAACAATTAACTAGGAGCTATCATCGATTTAACCAAGAATCTATAGACACTAAATTAAATAAACAATCTAGATTATATGAGTGTTGGGTTCTAATCACTAACATAATTTGTATCATTGAATTTAATTAAACAATTGTAAAATTTGATGTATTTTCTAACGCAACAATTCTTTGTCTATTTTATTATCTTTTCTTTCATTTAATATGAACTTTTTATCTAGTAGCTTTGTCGTACTTCATACACTCAAAACTAACCTTTTATATAAAAATATGCTACTAAATTGCTTGCAGATTTGTTTTTAAAAGTAATCTTTATTGATTGATAAATCTTTTCATTTTTAAAATCAGCTAAGATTGCATGTGGGTTTTTTTTTTTTTTTTAAAACTTTGTTTTGAAATAAAAAAATTTTAAAATAAAATTGAAAAAAAAACTTACAATATAATTTTGTTTAATAATAATATAAAAATATACTACAAATGTGGGATTAAGAGGGTTGCAAATGAAATATTCGTTCTTTATGTTATTTAACTTTTATATTTTATATGAAAATTTTTTATCCTTTAAAAAAAAAAAAAATTCGCTCCTTTAATCGGTTTCTTTAAATAAGGCTAAAAAGCTCTATTTAATTATAAATGTCTTGACTATCCATCACTAAATATTGTAACTCTTTGTAAAGACTAAAAAGCAGAAAGTAAAATATAGCGCAAGATTTATATAGAAACATACCTGTCAATCTTTAGTTTACTGAACTATTAAATTTAAACTAAAAAGTTTATTTTCTACTTTTTAGTACACAAAAGATTAGTAATTTTTAGTAAGTGTTTTTGCTATATTTTATTTAGATGCCTGTTATGAACAAAGCAAGAAATAAGCATAGTGTTAAGGCTTCTTTTCTTAAAAAAGCAATAATTTAAAGATATGCTCATCCCTATTACTTTTCCTGAAAAAAGCATTACTACCTTCCAGTAGAAAGAATATTTGGTAGGATATTAAAAAATGTTCATAGATCTTACAACCTACTATCTGCAGAGAAATGGCGTTGTTGTAGTTGGTGTTACCTAGAATGGTAAATTTTCAGTGTCACCCCTCTAGACTTTCACTTTCATGGGTTAATCTTTAGGAAAGATTTTTAAGTGAAATAAAAAAAGTGAAAAAATGAAAAAATTAAGAATTAGCAGAGTTATTAATACAAAATATCAAAAATTCAAAACCTGAAAACTATTGGTTAGGCAAAATGCAAAAATAAATTAAGATGAGCATGAGCTTTTTTATTAGAATTGTCTTTTTTTCATTTTGGTGCCACCCCTCTGTGTCAGGTCATGATGGTTTCACCCGTACAGCTTGCACTCCTCTAGTGACACCACTGCTACAGAGAAACTTAAAGACGACATGGAAAAGTTTTTTTTATGGCCAGGATTGGTCAGCCTTAGACTCTACAGCAGAAAATCATTTGTGAAAACAAAAACATTTAAAATAAATGAAAAATTATCAATTCCAACTATGAGGAATTAATACTATATTACCATAACCTGAGCCAACCCCGCAAAGCCTACTTAAGAAGGGGAAGAAATAGGATACTTTTAAACCAAGTGTCCTAGCAACAAGTAACTGTGCGTTTACTTTTTGTTTGAAGAACTATTTTTGTTCTTTTAATATTCAATAAAATGCAAAACAGGAGTATACATTATAATTGAAATGTTAATTTAAACTTTAAAATTAAATATAAAATAAAAAAATATTATGGCTTATTGTTTTGTATTTAACTTTCCGAAACAAATTTAAATTCACAATCTTAAAATATAGTTTAAAATATAATAGTTTAATAGAATATTGTTTACAGGTATTTGTACCTTAAAATGTAGGTAATTTTTTGAATAGCCATAAAAAATTTTATTACAATAGCTGAAAGCTAATCTTCAGAATATGAACATACCTTATATTCATTTAAATTCCCTTGGAGTACTTCTTGCACTTACACTCTTTAATAAATCAGCAATAGCTCCATAAAATAAGGCCAATCATAACCATGTAAACCTTAAAATGTAGGTTTTATTTTATGGCAATAACTTTGGAACAGCCTTTTTATTTCTGTTGAAAGTTTGTGTTATAATTTCTTAAATGTTTTATGTTAAATACAAGTAATTAGATTGTATAAATAACTTTCAGATTTTCAGGTGTATTTCATAATGTAGGTTTTTTGTACCATAAAATGCAGGTAAGATTTTTCAAAGAACTAAAAAGTTATATTTAAATTATTTATAATGCTTTTTTTTAATTTTGTTTTTACAGTTAAAGTATATTAAAATGAGACC